GCAGGTTGGAACAGTTACCAAGGGCTCTAATTTGGGTTCCCTTTGCCTTCTTTAGCATTAAACAGCTGGAGCTGTGGATCTCTCACCTGCAGAAGAGCCCAGGTAAGGACACAGTGCCCAGGAGCTCCATCCAAGCCCTCCCATACCCGCCAGGCTGATAATCCCACACTGAGGTCGGGGTTTCCGTAGTGGGTGAGGGATCATAGCTGGGTTGGATGATCCACAGTGGATCAGGGCATCATTTTCCACAGACCATGCTTCAGCACAGAAGGTGCTGACCGACTGGGACAGCCCAGCTGGCTCTGGGAGGGGGTGGCGGTGACAAGGACAGGTCGTTCTGCCCCTGCCCAGCCCCGTCCTTGTCTCCCAGGCGTGATCTCCGTGCTCTACTCGCCCACGGCCTTCTTTGCCCTGAGCCAAGGCCCCCTTCCCCACCTCGCCGACGAACTGCTGCTGCTCATCCAGCCTCTCTCGGTGCTGACCTTCCACCTGGACCTGCTCTTCGAGCACCACCACCTCTCTGTGGACGTCCGGCCCCTGTCCCGGCGCTTGGAGTCGCCGCTGTCCCCACCCCGTCCCCCCCTTCCAGCTCGGGGGGCAGCGTCTCTGGGGGGCCAGGCTGGTGCTGCTGGGGCCAGCCTGGAGGATGAGACGCCCCCCGATGCCCTGGGGAGGGCAGGGGGCACAGGGGGCAGCACGAGGGCCCGGCCCCAGGCTGCCATGGGTGGGCTGGTCCCTGCTCCCCCCGTGGGGGCTGCCCTGCACCAAACCCTGCAGCACGTGCTGCGCTGGGGGGACCAGCTCAGCCGCGCTCTGTGGGGTAGCTGAGGGATCCCCCGCAGAGCCACCACGGGCCCCAGGAGGGTCCTGAGGGCACCGAGAGCGGCCTCGGCGGCTGGTGGGGCCAGCTGAGCCAGTCCTCCAGGATTTACAGCGCTGCCAGCAAGGAGAAGTTCCCCTCGGTGTGGTGGACGAAGCTGCGGGGGGCTGCGGGGGATCCCGGCCCCGGCCAGGCTGTGCAAGCCCCAGCGTCCCTGAGCGAGGCTGGGGGCACCGAGCTGCAGCTCCTACAGACCAAAGCTGGCCCCCAACGCTCCGGCCCCAAGCCCAGCAGCAGCTCTGACACCTCGGGGACCTCTTCCCCCGAAGACCTCGTCCTGCCCCCCGAGCCGGATGATCCCTCTGCTGGAGAGAAGCTCCTGGATCTCTCCCCGGCGCCTCCTGCCAACGGGACCCAGGCAGCGCCTTCTGGCCCGGGGTTGGGTGGTGCTGGTCCTGACAAGGGCAGCTGGCTGGGCCGGCTCTTCGGAGCCACCAGCCCCTCATCCAGGAGCTTCCCCCCCAATCCTGACACCGTCTTGGCCAGGTCCAGGTAAGACCCGGCTTGGGCAGGCAGAGGGGGAAGGGTGGTGTGAGCTGAGGAAAGGTTTCTGTCCCATGGAGAGCTCCCCACGGGCCTCTCGGGGGTCTTGTACTGCCCCCTGTCCCGGGTTGGTGCTCCTGGGATTAGGGAGTGTCCTAAGTGCTGCTGCCGTCGCGCCTGGTCCTGTGGAACAGCAGCAGCTCCTGGCGGGGCTTTATGGGGCCCTTCCCCGCTCCCAGATCAGCAGAACGGTCTGAGCAGGGTGGTGCAGGATGGAAAAGCTCCCGGGTGAGCTCGTGGCTGCCTTTGCTTTGTGGCAGGAGACCGTCCCACTGGCTGTCCCCCAGCCCTCGTGTCCTGGCCGGGGTGGTGAAGGGGCTGGCGCCCGACAGGCCCCGCACTCAGGAACAGCCAGAGAGGAGCACGGCCCCCCCAGCCCAGGCCCAGAGGTGAGGCAGGACGTGGTACTATCCGGGGCTGGGAAGCTGGTGGTGGGTTTTTCTGGGTGGGGGAAAGCTGGGGGTGCTTCCAGACAGGGCCTGGGGGTCCCACACAGGGCCTAGGGGTCCCACACATCTCTTAAACTGAAAGGCACCGTTCCACGTTGCCCACTCTGTGCCTGCCCGCCCCGAGGATCCCCATCTCCCGCTGAGCTTCGGGAGAGCCCGTGGCTCTGCCCACCTGGGATCGGTTGTTTTTCCCAGATGCTTTTGCAGGGAATTTTTTAGCGTTTCCCCGTGGGCTCTGTGGATTTGTAGCAGCTCGTTTGGGGCAGCCCTGGGGCAGCTCTGGCCGGGTCGTGGCAGGTCAGAACAGCCTGCAGTTCTGTGTCCCAGAGAGCAGGGTGGGTGTGTGACCACCCCAAACCGTGCTGGGCTGCTTCCCTTCCTCCCCAACCCTCTCTGGCTCTGGCCCTGCTGTCCCCACACCCTCTGCCCTGGAGCTGCTCCCACTGCTCCCCATCCCGGGGTCTGCTTGGCAGGACATCCCCTCGCTCAGATCCCTCCTCAGGTGGCACCTCTGCCTAAGGAAGGGGTCACCGGCTCCAAACATGGGCATCAACCCCCCCCTCCCCAAGTGCTGTGGGAGCCCCTGGGGGTCCTCGGGGTCCCTGGGGAGGCGAGTCCCCGATGGTGATTGTGGTGCAGGGCAGTGCGGGCGCTGTGCGACCACACGGGCACCGCCGACGGGCACCTGAGCTTCCAGAAAGGGGACATCCTGCAGCTGCTCTCCACCGTGGATGAAGACTGGATCCGCTGCTGCCATGGAAACAGCACCGGCCTCGTTCCTGTTGGTTACACGTCCCTGATTTTGTGAGGAGGCGGAGGAGACCCGGGGAAGCAGCCGAGCCCGGCGGAGCGGGTGCCGGCTGCGGGAAGGGATGTCCTCCTGCCGTGGCTTCACCACTTCCAGGGCTTTATCACCTCCTGGGGACTTCACCACCTCCGGGACTTCACCACCTCCGGGGCTGGCGGCTCGCAGGGGACCCAGCCCTGCGCCTGCCACTGCTGCTCCTCCGCATGGCGTCCCCGTCTGCCAGCGCCACGCGTGTCCCCGCGCCCGGCACCGCTCCGTGGATCCTCCGTGGGAGCCGCTCACGGTTCCTCAGCTGCTGCCCACGCCCGTGCCAGGCCGGGGGGACGAGCCCTGTCCCTGCCTGGCACTCACAGCCCCGTGTGTTGCCTCCGTGCCATCCCGTCTCGCCCACTGCTGCCACCTCCACGTGTCCCGCTCTGTCCCCCCGTGGCCGGTGGCCCCGCGCAGCCCCAGCACTCTGTACATAGTTGTGACCACGGGAATGAGCTTGTTCCACTGGGAAAAGGCTGGAAATAAAAGGTTGTGACTCACGTGTCACTGTGTGAATGGATCAGTGGGGCTGGCAGGGCTCATCCCACTGTGGGTGGCCCACGCTGGAAGCGCTCCCGTGGGAGCAGCCGGGATGTACCAGGGCTGTGCTGGTGCTCGGCAGCCAGGCTGGCACACCGGGCAGGGAGCGTGGGGAGGCCTCACACCCCGGCAGAAGGTGCCCAGGCTCCTCCACAGCGTGGGACGAGGCGGCTGCAGCCGGGAATAGCCCTGGAGAAACATCCCCAGTTTGGCTGCTGGGGAGCAGCCCCACGCACTGGGAGCTTGCACAGCACTGGGAATGGTCCAGGTCGGTTGGTTCAGTTGCTCGTTCAACTTCATCTAATCCTCTCACTGCCACAGCATGTCAGGAGGGCCTGGTTGTCTTTTTTAAATTTTTTTGAAGGTGTCAGCACCCGGATTGGGACCTGCTGGCAGGACAAAGCCGCTCTCCTCTTATTCTGTTCTCGTTCTCGCTTCCCCTTCCGGAATTTTTCCCTCTCAGACGAGGGACATCTTATCCTAATTGGAATGTTACTTGACTCGCCTTGAGGAGGTTTGATTGAAACCCACAGCTGCTCCTGCACTTTGAAATGGGGTCACACCAGGAGGGGAAGGAGCCAGGTGGTATTTTGAGTTTGTTTGTTTTTTTAAATAGCCCTGCAAGGCTTGGCTGCAGCCTCGGGTTTGAAAGGAAGGTGAGTTTAGGGGTCAAGCCCAGCGTTTTCATGGCCAGAGAGAGTCAGGCACCAGGGTTTACATCCTGGGAACAGAATTTGTGGATTTAATGGTGTCCTGTCCCCAACCTGCCTCGCACAGGGTCGTGGTCATGCATCTCCAGCCCCACACGGTGACTTGTGCTGCCGTTTGTCCCTCCTGCTGCTTCTGCAGCACAGCCAGAGCCACTGGCAGCAGAATAAATCCTCCAAAGTGCCACCCACCACCCATCTGGCATATTTGGGAGCTGGGGCAGCGCCTTGGGAGAGAGGGAATTGGAGCTGGAGCACAGCAGGAGGTCAAGCCAGGGCAAGGACAGACCCTCAGAGCCACGGGATCGTGGAATCAAAGAATAACAGGATCATTAAGGCTGGAAAACACCTCCAGGATCATCCAGTCCCAACCTGTGCCCCATCCCCACCTTGGCCCCCAGCCCAGAGCACTCAGTGCCACGGCCAGGCCTTCCTTGGGCACCTCTAGGGGTGGGGACTCCAAACCTCCCTGGAGCCCATTCCAATCCTTAACAACCCTTTCCAGGAGGAAATTCCTCCTGATGTCCAACCTGATCCTCTCCTGGCACAGCTGGAGGTCATTCCATCTCCTCCTGTGTCATTACCTGGGAGAAGATCCTGACCCTCATCGGCTCCCCCCTCCTGTCAGGGAGTTGCAGAGCCAGAAGGTCCCCCCTGAGCCTCCTTTTCTCCAGGCTGAGCCCCCCCAGCTCCCTCAGCCCCTCCTGCTGCTCCAGCCCCTTCCCCAGCTCCCTGCCCTTCCCTGCCCACGCTCCAGCCCCTCAATGCCAAGAGGGGCCCAAAACTGAGCCCAGAATTGGAGGTGCCAGCCCTGCCCTGGCCCTGTGGCCACTGGGGCTGGCCCAGATCAGTTGGCATTGCCTGGGCTCACCTTCAGCCTCTTCTCACCAGGCACCTTCCAGCCCCTCTTCCCCCATCCTGGAGAGTCCCACGAGGGTCGTTGTGACCCAAGGGGGGCAGTTCCTGACCCTTTGTTGTCCCTCAGCCTGCCCAGCTCCACCCCCGCAGAGCCCACGGCAAAGAAAAACCCCCCGAGCCAGCCGTAGGAAAAAAGACTTTTTTTTTTTTCCATTTAATACTAGACTCTCAGGATTGAGATGCAGGCTTTTTATGCAATTACATCCAATGTTAAAATTGGTAATACATAATTTACAAAGATTAACATCAAAACAATGATCTATTTAGATATGCTTTGTAAAAAGGAAATATATTAGCAGCATTTATTTTCAGCAATCACACAGCCTACACCCATGCAGACTAAGGTTCAGCTCTATTTGCAGTAACGTAGTGCTTCCTGGCTCCGGCGGCGATCCTGGGGACACAACGGGTCTGCTCAGTATTATAAAATAACCGGAAAAAAATAAAAAAAGTCATTAATTTCTACACCAGTAAGAAAAAACAAGTCTTTGCACTTACCTAGAACATTTGATTGTCTAAAAAACATTTTTCGTTTAGTCTTTCAACAAAAGAAAGATAAAATGACAGAGCTAGTGTCTCGCTTCTGTACGCACTTTTATTATTTTTTTTCCCCGTTTTTTTTTTTAAAAACTTTTTTTTTTTTTAGTGTTTAACACCATTGGAGACAATGATTTTTTTTTTTTTTTTTTTTTTTTTTTTTTTTCCTGTTTGAAACTAAATGAGACAACTCGAGGGGTTTGGACATGCGATATTCCTACTACACGCACGAGTATTTTATACTCAGGGTTCCTGGTACTGTACAGTGCTTCTCTACAGTAAGAAAATATTCCAAACTATTTTCTTATTTCTTTTTTTTTTAATAAAATATTTTTTTTTCTCAAAGGGTTTTTTTTCCTTTCTTTTTTTTTTTTTACCCTTTTTTTTTTTTGCTATTTTTTTGCTTTTTTTTTGTTGCTGTTGTTGTTGTTGTTCCTCTTTTTTTTTTTGAAATCAACACATAAAAGTTAATGGAATGAGTCATGTTCCACTAAGAGTAAAATAATTATAATAATAATAACAAGAATGTACAGTAGGACGAGCTTGGTCCATAAAAAGGAACATGTAACTACGGTATTGCTTTACATCCACGCAGCAGATATATACAACTTGGCACATTAAAAACTGGATCTCTTATAAGAACACCTAAAACAGGACTGTAAATGCATTGTGTACGTCTGAGACAGGAAAGCAAAGCCACGCCCGGGGGGGCCAGCGGGTGCCTCCCACCCCCTTTGGGATGTGGGGGTAACGGGGGTGGGAGCGGGGTGGGACCCCTGGCCAGGACGTCCAGCTGTCCACCAGCACACGAGGGTAGTGTTAGCATCGATATATTCTACAGCTCACGACAAACACTCGCTCGGATACTGCCTGAGGGGCACGGAGTGAAGGGTTCCTTGGTTTTGTATTTGCTCTTTTTTTTTTTTTTTTAAAGTCCTTTTTTTTTTTCCTTTTTTTTTCTTTTTTTTCTTTGTGTTTTGTTTTTTTCTTTTGTTTTGTTTCTTTTTTTCCTTCTGAACAGCTTTTTAATTTGCACAACACAACGGGACGCACGAGAAACCACAGCTTATCAAAAAAGAACCAACAGCGATGGTGGCGTCAGGATCCCGACTCGCTTCTTACAAAATTCCTCTGCAAGAAAAAAAGTGGAGGGGGGGGAAAAAAAAAACAACCCAAAACACAAAACCCCTTCCCCTCCCCCCCCCAAAAAAAACCACCAACAAAACCAAAAACTTCACACCCCACCCACCCTCCTTCCCCCCACCACGACCCCTGCACGGCCGGTGCCTCATCCCAGCGCTCCTGCCCCGCTCTCCGAGGGCCTCTGGAAGCTTCTCCTTGGCACAGGCCACAGGGTCGTCCCACGGTGACCCCCCCGTGCTTGGCTGGGCACCTTTTTTTTCTCTCTTCTTGGAACTTGTGCAAATCAGAGGCATTTTTTTTAGGGCAGCCTTTCATTTCAAGCCACTGGGTCTTTTTTTTCCCCCCTCTCCTCTGGATTCCCTTTCCTGGCGGTGCTGGTACCATCACAGGTTATCAGTGACCATGGGGAACACTCTCCTCAGAGTAAACTCAGTCCTTTTCCTCTCACCTCCCCATTTTTTTTCCTCTTTTCTTTTTTTTTTTTTTTAAATTTCTTTTTTCTTTTTTTTTTTTGAATTTTTTTAATATTTTTTTTTTCCTCCTCTTGAGTGGGGGGGAAATATCGAGCAAAAAAATAAATTAAAAATTTGACCATCCCGGACAATATTAACCACGAGGTTTTTTCCTCAGTACCTAAACATCAATACAAGGCACGCCCACCAACACACACACACCAAGAGCACTGCAGAGCAGGGCAGGGCGGCGCCCCGGCCCTTTTAAGTGCTGCTGTTTGTAGTTTTTTTGTGTTTGCCGCCTCCTCCTCCTCCTCCTCCTCCCCCTGGGCCGGCGCGGAGGGAGGTCGGGCCCCGGCCCTCGGGGCTCGGCAGCCCCCCCAAGTCACAGCCCCCCAGACCTCGGGTGTCACTTCCTGAAGCTGCTCTCGGGGATGCTCAGGGTGCGGCGCCGGAGTTTCCTGCCCGACCCCTCCTCCAGCAGGTAGGTGACGTCGATGGCTGTAGAGAACAACAGGATCGAGGTGAGAAAGGGAGGAAAGTGGGAATTGCTGTGTAATAGAAGGGTTAACTTTGTTCATAAAATCTTACGTGTATAAAGGAATAAGGAATTTTTGTTATAATTCAACAAGGTAAGTTTCATGGACATCCTGCTAATCAAGCAAGTATCAGTAAAAATAATTGCAGACATCTTGCTGAACAAACAAGTATCAGTACTAGTAAAATTTACAGCTGATAAGAACTGCAGCTTTTATCTCTGACAAATCCCAGATGACCACTCAGCAACAAGCCACGAACTCAAGCCATAAAGCCATCGCATTCAAAACCCGGGACTTGGAAATGTATAAAAAGGAACATTTACTACATTTTTGGGTGTGCCTCAGCAGGGCGCTTGCCCTCCAGGCCACCCAGCGCTGTTTTGCTTTATTATCGCTTGCTTAATAAATTTATCAATGTTTAATTGGAATTGAGTTGTCTAAATTCTTAGACTAACTTATAACACCGTCCTTAAGGTGGGAAAACACCCCCCTGGAACATCGAGGCCAGGCTGGGGACTGAGAGGCACGTCCTGAACACGAGGTTCAAGGAGCAGCTTTCCTGTTTGTTCCTGGTTGTTTGAAGGGTGTTTCCAGCCACAGTGATATCCAATATGCAGATATATCCAACACACCCAAGAGTGAATTTAGCCCTGAGCTATGGCTGGACCAGACAACCCCCAGAGATCCTCCCAGCCTCGGTTATTCATCAGTCCAAACCTGTCTGGAATTGCCAGAACATGGGAGAGACTGGACAGGGCTCATCAATTAAAAGCCAAGGAAAGGTCAAAAGAGACTTTCCTTTTCTTCTTGGCATATCTGTTACTTCCTCAGTTGTAAACACGGAATGATGGGGGGGTATATTATATATTATATTATATTCTGTATAATATTAAAAATATTATACAAAAGCATTATACAAAAATATTATGCAAAAATATTATACAAAGCAGTGTCAGGGGGTGAGAAATTTCACTTCGGTTTTATTTCAATTGGATTTCTGTTGCAAAGGAAAATCGTGGCTGCAAAAATAACCCCCCACCTGATCGTTCCTAAGGCCCACTAGCAATAAATTCATTCATGTTAAACAAACAAACAAACAAATGAATTTTTGTTTAAATAAAGAAATGTTGTTTAAATAAAGAAATTTTGTTTAAATAAATAAATAAATAGATAATTTTTAAATAAATCACAATACTTTTATCAACACAGTGCCCAGCGAAGCAAACCCCGGGCTGAGCCTGAACTCTCACCGTTTTTCCCTGGGATTTTCTCTAGGAGGTTGAGCAGGATCTGGTTCAGCCTCTCCCTCTGGAGGTGCCTCCTCTCCTCGGGGCTGCAGAGCTGCCTCGTGTCCGAGGGAGCCTCCTCCCCCTTCTTCTCTGCCTCGCAGCCCTCGCTGGGCAGCGGCTCCTTGTCGGGCTCCTCGGGGCCGGGCAGCTCCCCTGGCACCTGCTCTGGGGCTGCCAACACCTCCTCCATCAGGGGCAGAGCATCCTCCTCTTGGTTTAAGTCCTTGATCTGTGGTTTTGAGCGATCTGATTTCCAGGATGACCTGGAGGAGGAAGGTTTTGAGAGATTTTTTTTTCAGACATTCCCCTAAGAGGCCAATTCCCTGCTCCGAGGGCAGGAGCTCCCTGGAACTCATCACTTCCCTCAGCCCCTGCAACCATCACCCCCTCCCCAGGTCCTACCCCACCAAAGGCAGCTGTGACAAACAAATGGCCTCTCATTTCCCTTTGGGAAGGTTTTTATCTCCAGAGGTTCAGCCCAGCCCTTAGTGGGGCTTTTCTGGAAGAGTCACGGCCCTTGAAGGGGGTTTTTGAAGCCTCTCACTTGCATGGACAGCACCACTGGGATCTGGGCTCCTCCATCTGGGAATCCATCTCCACACTCAGCTGCTTTTGCTGACTTTCAAATGGCTCCTGTTCTCTCCCTGCTGTGCATTATTAAGGAACACTTCCCTGGTCTCTCCCTCCTCCCTTGTTCCCTTTCATCTCTCCGGAAGTTTTAGAGAGCTTTAAATAATTTAAACTCCCGATTTCCACAAGCCCTGGGGGAAAACGGGCAGGAGGAGAGTGAACACAGCAAACAGGATCATCTCATCTCCCCTCTTCTCACCAAACAATCTGGGAGGGGACACTCACCTGCCTCCGTTTCTCTTGTAGTTGTCTGGCACGTAATGAGGCTGCAACAGCAATAAAGATTGTGGTTAATGCCAAACCAAAGCCACAGGGCTGGTCTGTCAAACACCCTGGAAGTGCCAATGCAGGACACCCTGGGAATGCTGGCGTGTCTCACACATCAGACAGCTCCAAAGGAGAAGGAACAATCATGTCATAAGGATAAATCAGAGATAAATCAGAGCCAGGCTTCTTTGATTTTTTCCTACCTTCTAAATAAATTTCAAGCCATAGCCCATCATGACATAAATCACCTTTGATCTGTGCACAGCACAAATTCCTTTGGAGGAACCACCTCCAAAGCCACCACAAAGAGCTCTGCTCCAGGGAGAACAGAAGGTTTGCAGACCTCTGTGCTCAGACAGGGCAGTGCTGACCTGGAGACCATCTCTGAGCTCACCCATCACCACCCCCTCAGCACCTCTTTGCCTCTTCCCCCAGACTGTGCATGCTTACAGAATCATGGAATCAAAGAGGCTGGAAAAGCCCTCCAAGGCCATGGATCCACTCTGTGCCCCATCCCCACCTTGTCCCCCAGCACAGAGCACTGAGTGCTATCACCAGTCCTTCCTTGGACACCTCCAGGGGTGGGGACTCCAAACCTCCCTGGGCAGCCCCTGCCAATGCCTGACAATCCCTTCTATCAAGGAATTCCTCCTGATGTCCAACCTGCCCCTCCCCTGGCACAGCTTGAGGCCGTTTCCTCTTGTCCTGTCGCTGGGAGCAGAGGTTGATCCCCACTTAAGGGGTCAGCTCCCCGTGGCCTCCTTCACCAACAGACACTCAGGGGCTCTCCAAAACCCTGTCCAGCCTTCTAACAACAGGTCAGGGAGCTGAGGGAAGCCCCCACTTACTGAGAAGTCTCTCTTGGGAGTGAGTTTCTTGGGGAAGTGGTCGAAGGCGTAGGGCTTGGTGCACACGGGGTAGCGGTTGCGGTGGATCTTGTAGAAGAGGTGAGCTGACTTATCCAGGCGGTAGTCACAGATGTACACATCCTGCTCCTTCACCCCCTTGGGCCTCCCTGGGGGGGGGTCAGGACAGAGCAGACAGGGGGAAAAAGCAGCCATCAGATTGAGGGGGAAACACGTGGTTTGCCCCAGCCCAGCGCTGGAGTGTCGGGGTGTCCCTGTCTGCCCTCCTTCACTCACACACACTGCTGCTTCAATTCGAGGGCAGAATCCACATGCTCTGATCAAACAGCACCCAAACTTCCAAAACAAAAACAATTATCAGCTTTCTCTTCCCTGCCCACCACAATTCCAGCAGTGCTGTCCCTCTTCAAACAGGAATCCCTGTCCTGGGGTAAAGCCACGGTGTGTCCTGGGCTCCAGAACAAGCAAATATCCCCCAGAGCCTCTGGACAGCAGGATTGTTTCAGTGCATGTCACTGGGATAAAGTGAATTTTGCCCCAGTAGCTGGTTCAGCTGTGTTTGGGATGAGGGTAATGTTGGTCACACCCTGATGTTGGTGTTCAGTTCTCACCCTCAACCCAGGCATTGGGTGGGGACTGTACTGGGCTTCCTGGGGCTTATTCATGGAATCATGGCATGGTTTGGGTTGGAAAGGACTTAAAAAACCTCCTGATCCATCCCCTGCCATGGGCAGGGACAACTTTCACTATCCCAAGTTGCTCCAAGCTCCATCCAACCTGCCCTTGGACACTCCCAGGGATCCAGGGGCAGCCACGGCTTCTCTGGGCAAGCTGGGCCAGGGCCTGCCCACCCTCCCAGGGAAGGATTTCTTCCCTATATCTAACCTAAATTTCCCCTCACTTAACCTAAATTTCCCCTCTTTCAGTTTGAAGCCATTCCTCCTTGTCCTGCCACTCCAGTTCCTGATGGAGAGTCCCCCTCCAGCTTCCCTGTAGCCACTTCAGCTACCGGATACCTCTCTCTGTAACCTCCTTTTCCATCACTACTACTGCTGCTATTATTATTATTATTATTATTATTACATTTTATTTCAACCAACTATCCCTATCCCAACCCCTGGGATTTACCCTTTTCCACCCTCTCATCCCACCGTGGGGGCCGAACCCACGACAGCCCCAAAATTCCCACCAACTTGTCCCGTGTTTTGCCCTCCCCTCCCCGTGCCACCCCCTCACCTTTGCAGTAGGTGTAGAGGTCCAGCACACAGCACGTGCCCACCACAGCCTCCAAGGGGATGATTTCGTAGAGGGGGACCCGGAACAGCTCGTTGTGGTAGAACTTGCGGGACGGGGAGTGGTGGGTTTCGTGCGGACGGAAATAGTGGTGGCCAAAGGCAAAACGCTCCTCCCTGGGCAAGGGGGGGGAGAAAAAGGGGAGGGGGGACAGAAATGAAACCCTGGTACAACCTCACTGAATGCCCTGCTCCATTCTGAACTGTCTCTCCTGGGCTTGGGCAATGACTGTGGTGGGCAGTGGAGTCACCACGGGTGTTCCACGTCACCCCTGCAGGCGGGCAGGGCTTCGGTCACAGGAAAAGATGGTTCAGATCTGACTGTCCTTGTCATCCAGTGGGATCCTCTGTGTGCCATGGGAGGTGAGAGCAGCACGACACAGACACCCCATGGGGTTACAGAGCAGCACAGTCCCTTTGCTGGTTTGCACACAACGATTTCTGGGGTTCCCTTTGCCTTTTGTCTCCTTTCTCCTGTGTTTCCATTGAACACCCCACGGGCACAGCGCTCCGTGGCTGTGACTGTGCTGCTGTCACAGGCACTGAACCACCTCACAGCTGCCCCTGAGAACCCTCAGCCTGCTCCAACACTGAGGAAAGCCCAGCAACCTCAGCCTCAAACCTCCGAGCTCCCACCTTTCCCCACTGCAGCTGTGGAGCACAAGCAGAGACAAGCTGCTCACTCCTGCCTTTTTTTAAGACTTTTTTATAAAAGACTTCCTTGGAAATCCCTGTGCCCTGGCAGGTGGGGATGCCTGAGTGGAGAACTCACTTCTCGTTCTTCCAGAGCTTCTCGATGCGGAAGATGTCGAGCTTGTCCCTGTTGATGTGGGACAGCAGCCGGTACGACTGGCGCACGGGGTGCCCGTCGGGGGTCCTGCGGCTGTCTCTCATCAGGTACACGCAGTCACCTGGCAGAGGGCACAGAACACACACCTGTGAAGGGCTGGGCATGTTTGGCAGCTCCCCAAGAACCAGAGGAGTAAATAAAGGTGCCATCAGAACCAACACAAGAGGTCCCTCAGGTTGGATTATAAAGAACGAGGTAAACCCACTGTGATGCTTTCCACAACAGCTTTACAGAGGAAACACCCTTAACTTTCTATGCCCAGACTGAAAACAACCTGTAAGGCAGCAAAATCAATGCTGACAGGCCAAGGGGTACGGAACAAAGCCGGCTGGGATTAGGGAAATGTGGAGGAATTAGCGGTGGCTGCAATGTTTAAGGAATGAATCTTGGAGAGAGAAGATACTTAGGGGGAAGGTTATTATTGAGAAAATAAATCCTGGCCCCAGAAGCCCTCGAGCCTTTGGTTATTCCAGCAGAATTCCAATGAGATGCAGAGCTCAGGGAAGGCAGAGAATGCAGAAAGAGCTGAACGAAATGGCACTGCTGACAACTCAACAAGCCTTTGCCAAGTGCAACCCCTAAACTTCTCTTTATTAATTTTGTCCCATGAGTGAATGAACTCTTTAATTTCTCTGCTCTGCTCTGTGAAATCTCAGAATCTCACAATGACCTGGGTTGGAAAGGAGCTTTAAGACCATCTCACCCCACCCCCTGCCCTGGGTAGGACACTTTCCACTACCCCAGGTTGCTCAGAGCTCCATCCAACCCGGCCTTGGACACTTCCAGGCACTGGAAAAGATTCTATCTCTTGTTATTTCCCTCACAATGAACAAAAACCTGGGAGGTCCCAGGTGATAAAAAGAATGGCACTCTGTTAACTTTGTGCATAACAATTTCTGGTGCTCCCTTGGCCTTTTTGGCTCGTGTAGAACATTTTTCTTGTGTTTTCATTAAATTGCAACGACTCCTGGTTTTTTTCCCCCCTATTTCTTTTCCCCTGTTTTTGGGGTATGTGCAGCTGTGGTTCTTTTCCTTCCATGGATATTGCTGCTATTCATTAGCAGGTTCTGTTGCTGTAACTTCCACAGCTTGGGGACAAAGTGCCAGGGAAATGTGGCCTCAGGTCCATCCACACCTCAGTTTTGTCTGAACCAAGTTTAGGATTAAAGTGAAGGACGAGTAATCCTATTTTCATAAATCTAATCTCACTTATCAATCTGGTCTAAGTGTAAAAGATGCTCCTAAGGACTCCAGCAATGAATCCATGGATTTTTTTCCCTTCTCCTGCTGGAGTTCTGTGTTCCTTCCCAGCACCTTCTGGTTGTACAACTTGCTCAATCCACCCCCTGTACCTGCAGAGGCATTTGGGGCCCAAGAGTGGCAGTTTGGTCCCCTCTGTCCCCTGCTGATGGCACGCAGGGCTCAGCCACAAGAAGGGTATTTCCCTCATTAAAGGACATTTCCCTCATTAAAGGGTATTTCTCTAATTAAAGGACATTTCCCTCATTAAAGTCACCGAGATCAGACCAGAGGTATCTGAGTAAAACTCAGTGTGTCACAACAAAAATGACCTGAGTGCTCTGAATGCCTGGAAGTCGCCAAAAACCCCAGATAAAAACATCACCCATTTGAACAGAGAACATGAAATCAAGCTGTGATACAGCCCTTGGAAGTGAGTTCCTCTCCAGCACAAAAAAAAAACCACGTGAGAAACCCAGTGGCTGAACTCTGGACAGGACAATGCAGAGCAACCACCACCAAGGAGGACTGAATGAAACTCCAGAATCCTGCAAATGGGATAAAGAATATGCTGTCCTTTGACTTTTTTTTTTTTTAATTCTCCACTTTGCCTGAAGTCTCTTCTATTTCCCTCTAGCAAACATATCAGCTGGTTTTACTCATTCAAGAGCAGCTCCCTCATAATGATGAAGGCTTCTTTCTAACCTTATGTGTGTCTGTAGGATGAATTAAAGAAGTACTTATCAGCGAACCGAATTAATGTGGCTGTGGCAGCTGCCTGGGAGAGATTTGGGGCTTCAGAGCACTGTCCAGAGAGATTAAGCTGCAGGGAACACACAAAGCAACGAGCTGGGTGTTTTAATGACCATTCTGCACCGAAATACTGAAGGTCTAACAGCCTTCTTGGCCTTTACTCCTAAATGTTAACTACCAGCAGCTGGCTCAGCATCCTCCTCCCCTGGCCAGAGGAGTCTGCACTCAGGGCAATTAACATTTTTCCATCAAGAGCTTTCACTGTGTGGCACTCCCAGCATCGCAGAGGAAGCTGAGAGTTGTGAAAACTCCAAGGGTTTTTGAGGGGGTGATGGCAGAGATCCCTGCACGTACCTTGGCGGAGCAGCAGGTCGTCCCTCAGCAGGCAGATGTAATAAACACAGCCAGGCTGGGCATAGTGGGGGCGAGGGATCATGGGCACCTCCTGCATGGAAACATAAAACCAGGGAGGGAATCCCGAGCTGCCCGACGTCATCAGTCCCAAAATGGGGCTGAAAACACTTTGGGAAACGCGCAGAGAAGAGGTGACCCCTCACGGGACTGAACCTAAACAGAGGCAGCTGCAGCGAGCGAGACATTTAAAAAGTGAGAAAAACCAAGAGAAATGGAAGAAAGGGAGAACCCAGCATTTACCAGCCCCGGTAAATACAGATGCAAGAGCTGCTTTAGTCTGTAAGTGTGTTAAGGAAGGAGGGCTTACCCTGTTCACAGCCCGGGGCTCACACTGCTCACACAGGTAGTGTTCAACGTCGGAGTTCACACCCATGCAGTCACAGTGCTGCCAGACCTGGGGAGACAGGCACAGCCCGGGTCAGCTGGGGACTCCTGGCACAGGCTGTGCGTACAAACTGCATTTTCTCAAAAAAACATTAAGGGGAGCAAGACAATAACCTTCAGAAAGGAAAATCAAGATGTTCTTTGAACTATTTCACACCACATCAGAAGGCAGACAGGATCCACTGGCAACTGCCTGTGTAAAGGCCCAAAATTGTTGAATTTAATTCCTCTCTCCCAAGGGCAGGAGCTGTGGCAGTTCCAGCTCCTCTCCACAGAAATGCAAGTTGCATTTCCTCTCTGAAAAAACAGCATCTCCACTCTTTTGGAGAGGAAATGACGGGCTGGAGAGGCAATTCATGCTACTGACTACATGGAAACTGCTGGTTATGGAGAAAGAGAAAAGAGAGATTCCGTTTTAGATCCCCCCTGCCTCATCATGAACTTTTCACACTAGATCATCTTTGTAAAGGCCAAAATTGTTGAAATTCAAGGGCAGGAGCTGTGGCAGTTCCAGCTCCTCCACACAGAAATGCAAGTTCCATTTCCTTTGAAAACAGAACTTCTCTTTGGAGAGGAAACGAAGGGCTGGAGAGGCAATTCATGCTACTGACTACATGGAAACTGCTGGTTATGGAGAAAGACAAAAAGAGAGCAGATTCCATTTTGGAATCTCCCCCTGCCTCACCATGCACTTCTCGCACTGGATCATGAGCCCTTTGTCTTTGTAAAGCCCCAAACTGTTGGAATTCATTTCTCCCTCCCAAGGGCAGGAGCTGTGGCAGTTCCAGCTCCTCCACACAGAACTGCAAGTTCCATTTCCTTTGAAAACAGAACTTCTGGAGAGGAAATGAAGGGCTGGAGAGTTAACGAATGTTACTGACTACATGGAAACTGCTGGTTATGGAGAAAGACAAAAAGAGAGCAGACTCCATTTTGTGCCCCCCGTGCCTCACCATGCACTTCTCGCACTGGATCATGAGCCCCTCGTCCTTGTAGAGGCCGCAGATGCAGCGGATGACGTCCTCGTCCTTCTCGTGCCCGTTGTCCTTGTCGCACACCGAGGTCTCGCTGCTGTCGGCCTCGCTGGCCGTCTCGCCCACGATCTCGTCGATCTGCGCGGCCGCCTCGTGCCGGGCGCTGTAGTAGGCCTTGCGCAGCCGGCACACGTCGCGGCCCGTGGGCGATTTCCTGCCGTAGTATTTCTGAGGGAGGGAAAACATGCGGGAAGGGCGTGGTTTCCCAGGCCTGTGCACCCCTGAGATGGGAGGGCTCTGCCCTCAATGCACCCCGAGCAGCAGGGGAGGTGTTGTGGGGTCTAAGGTTGGGCTCGGTGAGCTCGGGGGTCTTTCCCGACCTCTCCAGAGGGTCCATGTGGGTGGAGAAGGGACTGAGAAGGACTTGGGAGTGGTGGGTGACCAAAAAGTCAGTTCTTGTCCCATTCCTGTGCGCTCACAACCCAGAAACCGAGGGGAGCCTGGGCTGCCTCCAAGGCAGAGCGGGCAGCAGGTCCAGGGAGGGGATTCTGCCCCTCTGCTCTGGTGAGACCCCAACTGAAATACTGAGTCCAGTTCTGGACCCCAACATCAGAAGGACATGGAACTGTTGGAGCAAGCCCATGAGGAGGCCACAAAGTTGATAAGGGGGACTGGAGCCACTCCCCTGTGGAGACAGGCTGGGAGAGCTGGGAATGTTCAGGCTGGAGAAGAGAACGTTGTGTGGAGACCTCACAGCACCTTCCAGTGTCTGAAGGGGCTATAGGGAAGCTGGAGAGGGATGTTCATCAGGAACTGGGGTGACAGGACAAGGGGAATGGCTTTACAATGACAGAGATGAAATTTAGGTTGGATATATGAGAGAAATTCTTGGCTGGGAGGGTGGGGAGGCCCTGGCACAGGTTGCCCAGAGAAGCTGTGGCTGCCCCTGGATCCCTGGAAGCATCCAAGGCCAGGTTGGACAGGGCTTGGAACAGCCTGGGACAGTGGAAGGTGTCTCTGCCCAGGGCAGAGGGGTGGGACTGGATGGCCTTTAAGGTCCCTTCCAGCCCAAACCACTCCATGATTCTGTCATTCCGTGACATCTGACACTGAAGAACAAGGTGCTGCTTCCAAAAGGAACTGGAATTTGTTCAGGAGAGCTATTCATGCATGTCCTTGACCTTCTCTGTGCCTGACCTAGGGCAATCAAAGAGCACATCAGCTACTCTCGAGGGCTCCCCAGGAACAGATCAGCACAAGCTTTTCTTCCTTCAAGGTATTTTTTCTGCCTTGGCCACTGTAAGTCAGCAAGAGCACTAGAGGAGGGAGCCTCACCTCTGCATTCCTGAACACCTTCAGCATGTCCCCATCAAAAGCTTCCACAGTTTTGTAGTAGCCAGTCAGGATCTGCTTCTCAATGGTGGCGAGGTCCAAGGGGTCAGAGATCTTCTCGTAATAGTCTGCGTTTCTGCAGGGGGGATGTTGGCACAGTGTCACGTTCATTAGCAATTCCAGCTGTGCAAATCCACCAGGGGGGGATGCTCAGGGATGTTCTGGGAAGGCAGCACTTACTTTTTCTTCGGGGGCAGGTTCAGGAGAGGAGCTGCGAGCGCCTGCCTGGAGGAATCTGCAACAGGGACACACAGCTTAGGGACATTCCTGGAGTTAAAACTTCAAAAAGACAAGTAACTAACACTCAATCTGGGTTTAAGAAAAAGGCTTTTCTGCTAACTGAGCCACGGGAAATGAAAATGCTTCTGCATTTCCAGCTGTTGGTGGCTGCAATCAGACTGCAGGTATCAAAACGAAGGACAAGTGTCCTTGCAACTCCAGAATTTTGAAAAATCAGTTTTAAAGGACAGTTTTAAAGCACAGCAACATCTGCAGGTTCTGATGGCAGAGCAGGGAGTTGAAGATAAAACAAAGTGATTATAGGTAAGGGGGGAAAGAAAAAAAAAGTTCTTTATCATCCCATCTTTTTCTGGTATTTTTAATTCTGAAAGTCCGTTGTTCCAGAGGCTGAAAACGCCCCCACAGAGATATATTTTTTTTTTTTAAGGAGTGTCCAGGTTCCCACCTTTGTAGGATATGATGCTGTCACATATTTCCTTGAAGATCTGTGCCAGGCGGGCAGCACGAGCCACCTCGATGTTCTCCTCGGCCGCCGCCAAGCGCCGCGTCCGCACCGAGCGGGACGTCTGCAGGGCTGAGAACTGGGTCATGAACACGTCTGGGGGAGGGCAGAAAAGAGTCACCTCCAAACAGAAAACCCACCAGGGATCAAATTACAGCATTTCCCCCCCTCTGTGAGTGTTAAAATTAACGTGTAACAGCTCAAGGCTTCGGCTGCCGTTCCCAAGTCGGCTCTCGCTGCTCAGGACTCAACTAAACTTCGGTTTTAATCAGTTTAATCAGCTGGTTATTGGCAGGTTTTATGCTGCTGGAGCAAATAAAACACGTCATTGAGTTCACCCCAAACACTCAATGCCCACATTTTCCTGCACCTGACAGTGGGGGCCAAATCCTGCCAGGCTGTGAGGGTGATGGTCCCACCAACGGGGCTGTTTTTGGAGCAGGGTTAATTTTTCCCTGATAGCTGAATTCTGTCCCACTCCCAACAAGTGGGAGTGGACTGCACACCAAAAAGCTCTAAAATTATGAGGATAGATGACAATTTTCAAAGTCAGCACAGCTGTTTCTGGTCTAGGGATAAAGAGAGCAGGAAATAGCTCTTTTCTGTCAGGGTCCAGCCACGGATGGTCATGGAATCACAGAGTAATGGCATGGTCTGGGTTGGATCTTAAAGATCCTCCTGTTCCACCCCTGCCATGGGCAGGGACACCTTTCACTAGCCCAGGTTGCTCTAAACCCCATCCAGCCTGGCCTTGGACACTTCCAGGAATGGGGCAGCCACAGCTTCTCTGTGCCAGGGCCTCCCCACCCTCACAGGGAAGGATTTCTCCCTCATACCACAGAATTATATCCTAGAACCATTTAGAAAAGACCTCCTTTGATTAATCACCAACCTTGCCACCTAGGCCATGGCACAGTGTTAAATACCACGCTCTGACAACCCCCTCCTGACGAAACACCAGATGTGACCCCTTCTACCAGGATCGAGGAGACTCCCGAGTACTTTTACCTGAGCAAGGATCCCCTGAGTGTCTACTACCTTGCAGTAGTGACTCTACACCGGATTTACAGAGAGATCAACCACCCCCCGTGCTCCCAAGGCAGCCCCCGAGGAGCCTGCGTGGCCTCACCGGATTTGATGTTGCCGTCGTCGCGGCAGATCCCGTTCCAGCGGGTGTACAGGGAGGGGCTGTGCATGTTGTCGCTGACGTGCTTCACCTCCTCCTGCTTCTGCCGGATCTTCTCCCAGTTCCGTACCAGAAACACGTGGTGCTTCAGCACGAAGTTCCTGCGGGAGTTACAAAGGGATTCAAGGACCAGTTTTTAGTGGAAAAAGGAATTCCTTAACGTGAGGGAGTTCAGAGGTGCACTCTGTGCCTTCTCTCCTCAGTGGGGAGGGACTCCAGCCTGGCTGGGTAAAGGGGAACTAAGAGCTGCATCCTCAGGCATTTTGTGATGCATCAGTGTTTGCCCAACACCCCATTTCTGAGCCCAGTCCCCCCTAAACCCTCCCTTACCTCTCCCTGTTGGACATGGGCTTCATCTGCAGCTGAGGGGTCAGCCTGGTCGGGGCGTTCACACTTTCACTGGGTTCCTCAGGGATGTGGCCCCTCTGGAAAACAGATGGTTCTGATAGACAGGAAAAACCTGTGCCAAGAGCCCAGCAAAGCACTCAAAGCAGTCCCTGAGACAGAGCCTGCAGCACTGCTCTACTGCCTGTACAAACACACCAGCTCTGGTCTGATGGCACAGGCTGATTTCCCATTAACCTCCACCCTGCCTTTAATACTTACCCTCTTCTTTAATTTGTGCTTTGACTTCCTCTTCTCTTTTGACCGTCCAGGCCTCCTGTGGGTGCTCACAGACTGGTTGCTTTTGCTTGAAAGTCCATTCATGCGTTGGCTTTTCCCCCCAATTATCCCTCTGCATTTGTCAAAGCCACATTTGCACAGTTGCTTTGGGGAAGGGGGAGGAAAAAAAAAAGAAATTAAATAACCCCCCCAAATATTTCGATTCTCCCTCAATATTCCAAAGAACAACAAATACAACACGAGGGGTTTTGTTAATCGACCTTCAGCTTTACAGAGCTGCTGGTCCTTGGTGAGATTTTTTTTTTTTAAGGCCTCCCAGTGGGATCTTTACCTGCTTTTCAACGTTAAAGGAGTGGAAGTTGTAGTCATAGGTCAGCTCAGTCCCAGCAGGCATGTCCTTGAGTGCATAGAGCCCGATCCGATAAACCCCATTCACGGACCTGCAGGGGAAACACCACCCAATAGGCCCAATAATTACAATAAAATCCTCTCTGCCCACACAGGGGGAGTGTTAGAGACTGCCAGGTCTGTTACAGTAAACTCTGAAGGCCGAAAAGTGAACACAACATTTACAAAGGGGAGGAAGTTGTGCTTCAGGAGAAGCTACAAACTGTCCTGGCTATCACGAGAAATCAGCTTGTCCACTGCCAGCACTCAGGCCCCCTCCTGCACTGAAATCTTACACTGGGCACCAAACTCAGCTCAGAATCACAGAATCACAGAATGGTTTGGGTTGGGAGGGACTTTAAAGTAAAGCCCATCCAGTTCCACTCCCTGCCATGGGAAGGGAAATCCTCCACCAGCCCAGGTTGCTCCAAACCCCGTCCAACCTGCCCTTGGACACTCGCAGGGATCCAGGGGCAGCCACAGCTTCTCTGGGTAACCTGTGCCAGGGCCTGCCCACCCTCCCAGGGAGGAATTCCTTCCCAATATCCCACCTAACCCTGCCCTCTGTTAATTTGAAGCCATTCCCCCTTGTCCTGGCACTCCAGGCCCTTGTCAACAGTCTCTCTCCACCTTTCCTGTAGCTCCTGCAGGCACTGGAAAGCTACAGTCAGGTCACCCCAAAGCTCCTCTTCTCCAGGCAGAACAATCCCAACTCTCCCAGCCTTTCCTCCATCCCTCTGATCCCCTTGGTGGCCCCCTCTGGACCTGCTCCAACAGCTCCACGTCCTTCCTGTGCTGGGACCCCAGAGCTGAGTCCCCTCCCAAATCTTTCATTCATTTCGTGTTGGATTTTCAAATTTAGAACTTGATTACTAGTGCTTAAATCCACCAGAATTATCTGGGAAACACGAGCTACTCTGCTGCACTGTCCCCACAGCGATTCCTGTTACCACCATCTGCCACTTCCCTGTAAATCATTCACTACAAATCCCTCAGCAGTTATTTCCTCCTAGTCTGGCCCCTGCATTTCACGCTGCAGGGTTGAGAACCTGTGCACAGAAGAGAAAATGCCACTGCACCCGTGGCTGGTGTGGCACAGGGTGTGCTGCAATCACACTTATCTCCCTCTTTGCCTGCTTTAAATAAACACCTGAACTGCCACACACAGAGGAGTTCACAGTGTTAGCTGGGCCTCAACATTTACAGTGTGACAACCCTGGCAAAAAAACCTCCCCACCGTTTGCAAAACCACAAAAGCATAAGGAGCTCTGAGGATCGTTGACACCTCTCCCCTGCCCCGTTTTTCAGCTCAGAGCCCCCTCAGCCGCTCTGGCTGCCTCAGAAACCTCTCCTGCCCTCACCACTTCTGCATCTCGCAGTTGGGGTTGCAGCTGTGGTTGATGAAGCGCGCCTCGTTGCCCATGCGGTAGCTGTCGATGACCATCCCGCTGTCCAGGTTCAGGCAGTAGTGGTCGCTGTGGTTGTGGTACTGCTCGATCATCCGGTTCCTGCCACGACACAGGGAGGGCCCCACCCCGTCACTCTGCCCGTCCCCACCCGCAGCCAACGGGCGGTGACGCGGCGAGAGCACGTTCAGGAGTTCTCAGAGAGGGGTTGGAAGGAGAAGAGCAACGGTAAATGGTTTGTGTTTTTGTACACCTCGAGGGGGAGGAAAGCCGTGATTGTACCTAGTTTTTATAAGTCAAGGCCACTGACAGAGCTTGGGTTAGAATTTAGAAATTTGCTCTTCTGGAATGCTCCCCTTTCGGGTTCTGCAGGTTATGTGTACACATTTCGTGGTGATAACCTGTGTATGGAAGAGAAAATGCAAGGACACATTCTTTGGGGTGTCTGTGTATGCACGTGGACAACAACCAGCTGCTTCCTGGGGGCTGGCCAGTTTCTGGAATCACATCCACGGATCACAAGGGCACAGTGACAGGAGTCAGTGTTAGTGGGTATCTCTGTATGAGGAGACTGCAGCTGCCTTCTGGTGGAGCTCTGAGAGCAGCAGGTCCCTCCAACCTCAAATATCCCACGATGCTACGGAGTGAACAAGACAATTTCTTTCTTTCATTGGTTGCTAATGCTCCCACTTGGTTTTTCTTTTTACTTCACCCCCATCTGCAAAAGCCCACGTCCCTTGCAGCCCCACAGTTCTACCTGGCACAGTCCAAATCCTGCACAGTTCTCATTTTGGGTTCACAGTCACTCGTGGCATTTCACATTTACGGGGCAGATGAGGCACACAATTCACTCCAAACACTGACCACTCCTCTCCACTGGACTGAGAAAAACTTCATTGATCTGAAAATGGGAATTCTAAGCCTCCCTTCTGGCTGTGACCAGGACAGGGTTCCTTATCCTCCCCTTTGTTACTGTCTAAGGATATCCCACCCACGACCAAACCCATTTACCGACCCTGAAGCAGCGAACAAATATTTCTACCTGAATTCCTGCTCACTAACAACTTCTCCCAGATATTCAATGATAAACTGTCCTGCTTTCAGGGGCTCTTTGGTACGGATACCCCATCCTTTCTCCTCGGCCCGGAACCTCTCCAGGCACTGCACCCACTCGTGCCTCTGGATCCGCTGGTTGCAGCACTGCTCCCCACAGGGGCAGGTGTTGGGGGAGCACTCTGCAAAGATCATCCTGCAACACACAACAGGGGAGGGGGAGAGCACACTGAGAGCTGGAAAAGACATCAAGCAACAACAGCAGATGAAATGACGAAGCGAAAGGCGCCGGAGAACCAAAAGGCTTTTTGTTTTCGAGGTGTTTTGGGTTCCCGGCCTGGCTCTCGCTGGGGTAAAGTGGAGCTTTTAATGGGGTCTTCCTCTGGGGAAGGGGGGATTGTTAATTTTAATTTCTCTGGCAGTGCTGAGGAATCCCCTGGAGCAGGGAGTTCAGCCTGGGGGGGGTGTGAGTGGGACCCTGAGATGCTCAGACTGGGAATTTTCCCTCCCAGCAGCAGGAAGGAGCCTGGCCCCCTGTGACGATGCCTCTCCTGGCTGGGGTTGCATCCAGCACCACTCTTCTCCTCAGAGATGATGTGAAATAACCCCTGGAAGCCATTCTGACCTGTTCAGACAATCCTCCACGCAGCCCTTGCCACTGTCATCCTCTGGTTTCTTACAGTTGCAGGTGGTGGCCTCGTAGCCAGAGAGAGGTTTGACATCCACGTAGACATCTGGAGGAGAAAAGAGAAAGGAAACAAACCCAAACAGGGGAAAGAATTCTTCCCAGGTGAAAAACCCAGAACTGCTCATCTACAGTATTTTTCATTCCAACGAAATAAAGCAGTAAAAAAGCAGGTGGAAGTGCCTTTGGCAGGACAAAGAGCAGGACAGAAAGGAGGGGTTGTCACGTGAAAATCCCACAATTAACAGTTTAGTAATGAGATCTTACTTACTAGAACGGATTTTTTTGTAAAGTGGGACATCTGGCTTTTTATACAACTGAAAGGAAGAGAAAGGAAATTTTAATACATTGCATAAGTGCATCTGTTATTCAAAAGGATCAGGGAAATGATGTTCTGTACACAGGGAACAGTTCTGTAATCATTCCTAGAAATCTGCATTCTCCTCCCTAGGCTCAGACTGCATTAGCAAATAGGTCACCAAGAGGATGTGAATAAGCAGAACTTGGGTTTAATGAGGCAGTGGAGCAATTTGTCCACCCCATGGCTTGTTCTGTGTGCCCTGTCCCAAGGGCAGGCCCCTCTGGACAGGGCTGGAAAGAAGGGCAATTATTTAAACCCACTTTGGGGAAAGCAGCTTTGGTGGAGTTCACCACGTGCCAACAGCCTGAGAAAGTGAAAAAGAAAAATCAAGGTGCTCATCAAAGCTTATCAAAGTGATCTCAAGGGTCTTTTCTCTTTTAAAGGATTCTCTACTGTGAGCACAGGTGGGGGAAATGCAGATTCATCTTCCCATCGGAGGAACTTCCTCTGCAGGTGGAGATGGCAGGAGGGAAAAGGGAAGCTTACACCACAACTGATGATTTCATCTGTGTTCCAGCTTTTCAAACGGGCTCTGAGGGATAATTTCCAATTATTCCCTGTTTCACCCACATTTCCTGCACCAAGAGTGACACCCAGGCACAACCCAGACCCCTGCACAGAGAAAACTCCTCTGCAGGGGCCTCTGACATTCCAGGGAGAGATGGAAAATGTCAAGGAAGCAGATCCCATGTATTTATTATTTATGGAATACGGAGCAGATGAGACAGGCAGATGTAACTCATCGTCCATATGCCACAAGAAAGTGTCCTCAGCTGAAGTGTCCCCAGCGCTCCCGACTCGAGGATCAGATTCCAGGGGCCACAGTACCTGGGAATTTGTCCTGCTCATTTACACGCTCAAGTTACACATTCTTGCCACAGAGCCAGGGACAGATTCCCCCAGCAGCCCCAAATCCTGAGGTGGGAACTTCTCAGGGGGGAAAAAAAACCCAAAAACCAAAACAAAAAATCAAAAAAACCCAAACCCTCCTATTTTTAGGCTCGCACGTATTTAAAGCTTTTAAAACAGAGAACGAGCCCGTTCGACAGTTTCTCCTCTTCCCCTCAGCACGAAAAAAATTTCAGCTTGCAAGTGAAAAATAAATTCCACTCTGCTGGGACCGATCCAAGAAAAACAAGGCCCGAGATTTGTCGGTGCTGCTGGCAGCACATCCCGATGATTCTCCCGAGGCCCCGTCTGCAACCGGCACAGAGCGGCGCCAAAATAAGAGCCTGCAGCCCAAATTCCCGACTCCTGCCAGCAGAAACTCCCAGGATCGCTATTTTGCAAGAGCTGGGATAATGGGAATTATCCCCACCGAACACATATGCAAATCCTTTCTCTCTCCTCAACAGTGGCAGCGAGGAGATGTTCCCCCAGCAGGCAGGATGTGCAAACACAGCTCTCTGTGCTGCTGATTCCTTTCTAAGGCTTCTGATGGCAATCTTGGCAGCCCAGCGGGTTTTTATCTCCTACCTGGTTGTGTTTCCACTGCCAGAGGATGTCGTAAGGCAGCTGGAAGTCGATTCTCTTTTGTCTGAGGTACTTCCCTGGAACAGAAAGGTTGGTGAGTGGCACGTGCTCCTCTCCACGTGTCCCCCGAGAGCGGCTCCAGGCGCCTCGCCAGGGTCTGACAGGGCCTCCCAGCTCTGGAAGGGAGAGAGGGGAGCAGAAGCCTCCCAGAACATTCTGTCTGTCAGGGGAAGAGGCTCCAGGAGGCTGTGTCTGTGCTCTGCTCTCCTGCCCTGGGCAGGGGGGACCTGCCATGGACAGGCAGGGGAGGGGTTGGCTCAGATCTGACCACAGCCCTGAGAGAAGTGACCACAATACCTGAGAGAAGTGACCACAGCCCTGGGCAGGGACAACAGCACTGAGAGGAGTGACCACAATACCTGAGAGAAGTGACCACAGCCCTGGGCAAGGACAACAGCACTGAGAGGAGTGACCACAATACCTGAGAGAAGTGACCACAGCACCTGAGAGAAGTGACCACAACACCTGAGAGGAGTGACCACAGCACCTGAGAGGAGTGACCACAGCACCTGAGAGAAGTGACCACAACACCTGAGAGGAGTGACTACAATACCTGAGAGAAGTGACCACAACACCTGAGAGAAGTGACCACAACACCTGAGAGAAGTGACCACAGCCCTGGGTAAGGACAACAGCACTGAGAGAGGTGACCACAGCACCTGAGAGGAGTGACCACAGCACCTGACACAACTGACCACATCCCTGGGCAGGGACAACAGCACCTGAGAGAAGTGACCACAACCCCTTACACAACTGACCATAACATCTGAAACAACTGACCACAAAACCTGAGAGAAGTGACCACAGCCCTGGGCAGGGACAGCAGCACTGAGAGAAGTGACCACAACACCTGAGAGGAGTGACCACAGCCCTGAGAGAAGTGACCACAGCCCTGGGCAAGGACAACAGCACCTGGCACAACTGACCAGAGCACTGAGAGAGGTGACCACAACACCTGGCACCACTGACCACAACACCTGACACAACTGACCATAACACCTGACACAACTGACCACAACACCTGACAGAGGTGACCACAGCACCTGACCCAGCTGACCACAGCCCTGGGAAGTGACAACACCTGACAGAGGTGACCACAGCCCTGGGAAGTGACACCACCACCTGACCCAACTGACCACAGCCCTGTGCCTCCTCTGTGAGACACCTCCAAGCTGACAGGTTCTCCTGAACCCTCCTGGGCACAACCCAAAGCTTTAGCCCAGCACAGAACCTGCTGCCCTGCCCCAGCAAGATGGTAAATCCCCACACTGCACTCAAAGAAATCAAACCAGTTTTAAAAATAGCCTCCAAGCCTGTTCCTGTGACCTTTACCAGCAGAGATTTAAGAATGAATTCAGACTTGGCAAACACGTTCCCGAATGTTTTGGAAAGGCTTCAAGATGCTCTGTATTTTCAGCAATAACTGAAACTGTTTCAGACAGAAATTGGTGCTTTCACTGCAGATTCTGGCCGTGCTCTGACATTCCCTGTCACCCCAAAAGGACACTGACCCATGACATCACTCGTACCAGACCCCAGGGCTGACACTGGTGAGTTCCAGCCAAGATTAAACATCCTCTGCTGGCTTTGCTGGAATCCTGTGTCACAAAACTGCAGTGAGCAGGATGAGGTGTCGCTCCCAGGTCTCATTTTCCCAGCTTTCCTCACTCTTAACAAGTGCCTTTATGTTCCTCCAGCACCGGTTCCATGTAAATTCACACGCACTCCCTCTCCACTGGAAAATCAAAATGGTAATGTTTTCCTTACAATTCACCCCTAAATTACTCTTCATTTTCAATGCCTTATTCATCCCTAGCAGGTTCCAGGAAAGAGCTAAATCTGCTGGGAATTTGCTTTCACTTCTGTGACCTCAGCAGCCCAAACAAAGGGCTCTTTCAGGTGCCCTGGCAGCGAGCCTGGAGCAGGGGAAGGTCCCTTTTTCCCCCCCTCCCTCAAGTGCAGTGCCCTGGCAGAGTCCCAGACGTGGTCAGTGCTCTGGGGTTAAAGCATCCCCAGTGCCCAGGATGGAGCCAGGGGAGCAGCTCAGCTCCAGGAGTGTCAGCAGCACAAACATGGGCTGGGAATCTGAGTGTCCTGGCAGATGTCTCGGCAAGCTTTGATGATCCCCCTCCCTTCAAACAGGAACTCGACAAGAGGGCAGGTTTTGGGAGAATTCTGGAGGATTTTAATCACCACCATCAGCTCTGAAACCTGTTCTGTGGCCCCTGATTCACACAGACCTTTCTGCCAGAGCTGTGCAGGGAGTAAAACTTCTCAGCTAAAGGAAAGTGAGTGTCTGATGGCACAAATGTTCCTGCTGAACACTCTGGAATGTCCCAAACCTGCCTGGCATGACAGGACTTGCAGCAGGGAAACCACAGCACTTCAGAAGCTGAAAGAATGACCTGAGAAGTTACTCAGTCCCGGTTTTTGTCCTGGGAAATGATGGGAGCTGAGATCGGTCTGGGAGCTCGGGAACATCCCGTCCCTGGGAGCTGCATCCCAAGCTCCAGCAGCTCCAAATGCCTGGGCTAGACCTGAGTTACAGCTTCTTTCCACAGGCACTTCCCTGGAAATGCCCAGGTTGGACAGGGCTTGGAGCAACCAGAGCTAGGGGAAGGCGTCCCTGCCCACGGCAGGACAGGATTCTGGGATTCTCCAAAACCCTAAACCCCCATTTTTGTCCTTCCCAAGACCTAAAAATGGGGATAAAATAAAAATTTAAGATAGCAGCAAAGCTTCTCGTTCTTCCACCCTTTATCCATGTTTAAGGGCAGACAGAGGGACAGGGGGGAAATTTATTATTCCATGCTCAGCTTTTGGGATTTAACAAACGGTCCTAAATGGCTCTGGCTACTCTGCTGCAGTTTTACTTTGAGGAGGACACTGTTGCTCTGCATTTCACCAAAGGCTTATCACACTAAAGCAGGGTTTAAAACCAGACAAAGTTAAAATAAAGGCCTCCTGAGTCCAAACTGGGGAAACACAGAGAGACAAGCTGTGGCTCCTTGGCAGAGTTCAGGGGTGACCAAAAGGCAAGGGGGGGATTAAAAACCAGGGAAGAGGGAGGGAGCAGAGGGCTGGGCTGGGCAGTGCAGGGGAATTGTCACCTCCACACCCACCTCCCACAGCCAAGCCTGCCCCAGGTACCCACCGACGTGGATGGGGGCAGGGAAGAGCCCGTGCTCGTGCTCCCCAGGGGTGTATTCCAGCTTCTCCTTCTTCAGCTGGATCAGGCGGCTCTTGGGGCTGTGGGGGACAAGGGACACAACAGGAAGGTCACAATGGGTGGCACCTGGAGGGGACAGTTCTGCTGGGGGTCAATAAAGGGCTGTGTTGGGAGTGCCTGCAGTGCCAGGAGCACAAACAGCACCCAGAGCCTGCCAGGCTGCTTGTCCAGCACCCTGAGCCCAGCCCTCTCACCAGGGCATTTCTCTCTTTTCTTCCTGGTTTGTCTCTTTTCTTCCTCTTTTCCTGTTTTTTTTTTCTTCTTGACATAATTTTTTCTTCTCTCCTCCTTTTTCTTTTCCTCCTTTTTTTTCTTTCCTCTTTTTTCTTAATCTTTTTTCTTTTCATATTTTTACCTCTTTCCTCTTTTTTCTTCCTCCTCCTTTTTTCTTCTTTCCTTTTTTTTCTTCTTTTCGTCCTTTTTTCTTCTTCCCTCCTTTTTCTTCTTTCTTCATCTTTTTTTCTTCTTTCCTTTTTTCTTTCATCCTTTTTCGTCTGTCTTTCATCTTTTTTTTGTTTTCTTCCCTCTTTTTCCTTCTTTCATCTTTTTCTTCTTTTTTCCTCTTTTTTCTTCTTTCCTTTCTTCTTCTTCCCTTTTTTCATCTTTTTTCTTCTTTTCATCTTTTTTTCTTCCTTCCTCTTTTTTCCTACTTCCCTCTTTTTTCTTCTTTCCTATTTTTTCTTCCTCTTTTTTCATCTTTTTTTTCTTTCCTCTTTTTTTCTTTCCTCTTTTTTTTTCTTATTTCCTCTTTTTTTCTTTTTCTCTTTTTTTCCTATTTTTTCTTATTTTTCTCTTTTTTTCTTATTTTTCTTTTTTGTTTCTTTTTCTCTTCCCCCCCCCCTCTCTTTTTCTCAGGCAACGCCTCACGACACCATCGACCTTACAAGCCCAGCAGATGATTTAGAAGCAAATAACTGACCCCACACAAACAAAAGCCAACCAACAATTCACATCTGCTGATTTTTGTGACACCTGCACAGCCCTGTCCTCCTGCTCTGCTGAGGGCAAATGTTCCTGTGCTGCCCTTTAGGAGGTTCTTCAGCAGGACAAGAACAGGAGCCAAGGAGGTGGAATTAACTGATATTTAAGGTCCCTTCCAACCCAAACCATTCCAGGATGCTCTGAGGGTCAGGAACAGAACTGATGATGAATTTGTAGTTTATATTCTTTTCTTAAACCTTGCTGGATTTCTGGTACCTGTTCCACGAGTGCAAGTTACGAAAAACTTGGATTAAAAGGCTTAATTAAGGGGATTAAAACCTCCCCAAAACAAAATGCCCCAAACCCAAACCCTGCCCACCCTTCTCATCTTTTATCCTTGCAGGTTGTGCTGCACCAAATCTTTAAGGCCTTAAAGGAACTACTGACAGGACCTGGAAAACAAGTTCTGATTAAGAGGAAATAGGGATTTTAAAAGGCAAAGTGTTCCCAAGAGGCAAGCAAACCCTTAAACCAAAGGCAGAGAAAAAAAAAGGGAGAGCATTCCATAGGAAGGTGACTTCATTCAAGCCAAATATGCACCCCTTAACACACCCATCTTCTGTGCAAATGGAAAAATAAAGTTGCAACAGATTAATGACAAGGAGGAGCCCAGAGTGAAAGGGAAATGATTATCTGAAAGCACAGAATATCCCACGAATTTCTTCAGGCTCTGTGGACCCTCCTGGGTCAGGCCTGGTCACGATGGGCTTTGTGAGTGAGAGCACAAAAGGGCTTGAGGGGCTCCAGAGGGAGGGCCTGAGATGCCAAAATCAAGCAGAAATATTAATAAAAAAAAGGAAATATGCTCAAATCATCGAGTATAAACCACACAGGCAGTTTTATAAACATTAAGAAAAAAAAGGGCTTTGTGAATTCCAAAAGGCCTCTGTGCAGTGTCAAGAAAAGGTGAGTGTTGCTACATAAAAGGCTGGACTTGATGACCTCAGAGGTCTTTTCCAACCTTAGTGACTCCATAAAAAACACTTCCCACTCTGTAATCCACTGCACCACGTTGGCTGGGATTGGTTCCCTGTGGAATTACGTTTTTGAGGTGTGGAGCCCGGTTTTCTCTCTCTGACCAGTGTGACAAACGCTTTAAGTGGGGATAAGCTGGTCTGGCTCGGTGTAACTGCAGGGTCAACCACCCCAGTGCAAGGTTGGATTTTCCATCCAGCCACTGTCCCAGGTGCCCTGGACATCAGGATGGGACAAAGGAAGGGCCAGCACAGGAAAAGGAATAAGCCAAAAAGGTGACGAGAAAGCCCAGCTGATTGTCCCCAGTGCAGGGTCAGGCACCTCTGCACTGCTCCTGTACCAAAATACTGCTATTTCCCTAAACAATCTCCAGCATTTTAATTCATTGCTGATTCACTAATGGCTAAATTTCTCTGGTGAACTGGAATTTTCACTCTTCTAGGAAAGCCACTGCTGGATAAAGAGAGTGATTCCTGCCTAAAATCTTCCTCTGTTTTCAAAGCTGCAGCCACACACACTGAACCTCCCTCCAGCAGCAGATCCAGAGCTCTCCCAGTGGGAGCCGAGGGTTGGGAACACTCCTGTGGAGGCTGCAGCTCCACTGCCTACAGAATTATGGCTGGAAACTCTGGGGTAGAACTGAGAGTGCCTCAGCAACTCAGGCCTTTTATTCTTGGTTCATTGGCAAGGAATGAAAATCTGAGCTCCTCTGACTGTATTTCAGTCAGGTTTCTGCACAGGGGTGAGCTGGAGGGAAATCCTGCTGAGGCAAATGAGAGAAAATGGAGCAGTTTAAAAATATCTGTTAGAACTGGCTGCTTAAATCTCTTTTAAAAACAGCCAAACGACACTGGCCAGGCCAGGCCAAACTTTTCCTGTGCTGCTGGATGTGAGTGATGCAGGGAGAGGCAAACAGCACACCTCAGTACAACTTTCACTAGTTCCTCCTGGTATTTTAGGGAATATTTAGGAAGGATGGAGAAGGAAAATGGCTCTTAAGTCTGCAGGTGAACAGTGCAAAGAGAACCAGAGAAAAAGTAGGGTTTAAAACCCACCAAACAGGCACAGGGAGTGTGGGAAGGGGAGCCACAATCACCGTGGCAGCACTAGAGGGTGCCCCACCATCACAGAGCCTTTTCTCCACCCAGACCAGGCTTTCCCAAGCAGGGAAGTTACATAAAAAACAGTGGGATAACGAGAGGAACTCCTGCTCTCTCTCTCATCTCCTGCACTGCCACATGTCTTGCCCTCGCAGCAGAACTGGAACAGCACATTAAATCAGCAGGGAATGTAATAAAAAATAAAAAAAATAAATGAAGTGGGGATTTAGTCTGCTGAAAGCAACTTGGTGAAGGAGTCACTTCTGCTGAACCAACTTGGTAAAGGAGTGACCCAGTCACTTCTAAAGAAGTGACTGGGTCACTCCTTTACCAAGTTGGTTCAGCAAACTCCACCCAGAAGTGAGTGAAGAAGAGAAGGCTCCTCTCAGCAGAGCATCCAAGGGTTAAAGTTTCAGCACATCTGAGCTCAGACACTTTGGTCAGACTCAGATCTTTCTTCCTTCCTTTCATCACTTGATCTTTGATCCATGGCAAAGATGCCTTCATTCCACTCTGGACAAGAGAACACACCAGGAGCAGCTGATAAACTGCACTGGCAGTTTCCCAGTGGTCTCTGTAAACATTTTTTTTGAAGTGACAAAAGAGAGAAGGTGCCAAATTTTCTCTCTTTTCCAACCTGTCAGGTCCCATTAGGGCAGAAGGACAAATTCCTGACTGACTTCAACACACATTTGTTCAGATGGCTGCAGGAAACGTGTGTGACTACAAAGGGCAGAGGAAGGAGGAGGTGTCCACAGGCTGTGAGCCAGTGGGAAAAGAAAAAAAATGAAGGAATGCTGGATTTCTAGCCTGAACATCTCACAGAAAATGGAGATGAACTTCACTGAGCTGTGAAACGTTCTGGGTGCATATGTGAAATTCCTTCACACGCAGGATGAGCAGTTGTCACCACTCAGCCAGTGAAAACAGGAATCCAAGAGCCCCTTTCCTGCAGACACTGCTCAGCACCTGCACACACAAAGTGCTGAACGAAGCTCTCACCTTCCTCAAAGTCAGCGCCAGGAACACTTGCAGACTGCTCAAGGCTGCCTTCTGACTGGGGTTACAGCTGACATCCTCCCTGCCTCAGGTTCTGACACTTAAATCACCTGGCCTGATTTTTCCCAGGCTTCAGCTGAGCTGATGTTTTATTCCAGCTCCTCGTTAGCAGCTGCTCTTAATGGTTGTGGGTGAGGGAGTTTCCAGGGGGGCTGCCAGGGAGCAGCTTTACTTACTCTGTTGTTTTGTACACATCAGAGTAGAGCCCTGCCTTCTGGTACTTCTTCTTGGGGGGTCGAGGGGCTTTCTTCTCACGCTGGGGCAGAGCAGGCAGAGGCTGCTCAGGGTTCTCAGACTCAGGTGCTTTCCCAAGGGCGTCCTGTGGGCTGGGAGGGTCAGCCACTGTCTCAGAGAAACTGGGAGGAGAAAGGAAAAGATTAAAGATTAAAGATTACCATTCCATAAAGATCCTCTCACCAGATTTCATTATTCCTCCCCGTTATCTGCTCAGCAGAAAAAGCCTCTGAATTAAAAGTTAATTTAACAGTCTCAGTTATTTAAAAAAAAACGCAACTCAACGACCATGATCAAGGGGGGGGTTAAGCACAATCTGAAGAAATGCACAATATTTTTGTAGTAACATTATTAGTTATTACAAAAAGAATGTTGTTTGTACTGCTAATGTTTATCCCTTGGAGCCTCAGTTGAGTAATTCAGAAGGCAGCTCATGCTCTCTGCCTTTGGACTCTAAAAATAAGCACGTGGTAACCCTTTCCTTGGCCTTCAGGAGAGTCACAGAGCAGCCCCTGAGGCCATTTCTGGAAAGGACAACTTCTGACAGAGTTTAATCTGTTTGCTGGTGACTCTGGGGACAAGCATGAGAAGATGAGATCAGAGAGGGATCCCTGGTGTGCTCCTTCACCAGTGATTGCAGAGGTGCAGCCCTGACCCCTCCTTGCTGCTTTGGCTTTACTCCTCACTCTGTGCACCAACTGATGTCCCCTCACACCCTGTGTTTGGCTGTGACCCACACAAGTAACACTCCAGAGTTCCCACAGCTCTTCAGGGTTCCTTTCTCCTCCAGGATGGAGGAACAACCTGTGGCACCTCATTAAACTCATTACCGACTCATTAAACTCACCCTTCACCAACACAACCAAAAGCTCGCTTCGCTTGAGCCACGAGCACAGAACCAACAGTTTGAGGTCCCCTGAGATCACACCCTGTTCTGGGGTGTGTTCAGTGCCTGAGGAAGGCCTGGAGCACACTTAGAACGTGTTGGTTCCCTCTAAACTGAACTTAGTAAGAGTAGATTGCTACGTGTGCTTGATGAGATTCAGAGGAATCCCTGAGCAGAGGCTTCCCTCACGGATTGAAATGTTACAAAATAAGGGGACAAAACCGCAAGGGAATCACCTCTTATTGCTCTCCTGTTCATCCTCAGGCAAAGACTTGTGCCTCTTCCTGGCCTGCTCCTCCGGCAGCCACCTCTTCCTCTTCCAGCCCTTGCGGTGCTCGGGGTTCAGGTTGACGCTCTGCACCACGGCCTCGATGACGTCCGTGATGGTGTCAGGGCCCAGGTGCAGGGGGCTGCTGCTGCTGCTGGGCTCCCTGTTCTCCAGCTCCTGGCTCACCAGCCTGTGGGCCTGGAACGCCTGCATGGACACCACGGCCTGCAGCGGGTACTTCCTCGGCCGCCCCGGCCGCCGCTTCACGAAGTTGTTGCCGGTCCGCGACTGCCTCTGCAGCTTCTTGGCCTTCAGGATCTTATTGACGTGGTCCAGATTTTTTTTTGTGGCCAGGATCTTGTTGTAATTGCACATTTTCCTCGCTTGGCGCTGCATGGCCTCCACCACGCTCCTCTTGAGGTGCCTGGGGGAGTAGCTGCCAGGCAGCCGCTCCGACAGGAGGGAGATGCTGTCGCTGCAGGAGCTGCTGGGAACGGCCGGAGCCACCAGGCTGTCCTGCTTGCCCAGAGCTCTCTCCCTGGAGTGGTTCCTCGCAGGACTGGCCGAGGGGGGCACGGACACGTTGGCCATCACGGCTTCCAGGCTCTTGTCCAGGGCGGGAGGGCCCTCCTGCTGGGCCATGCGCTGCAGCAGAGTGTCCACCGAGTCCTCGGCCGGGGCCAGGCGGCTGCTCCGGGCGGGCACCGACACCCCTGAAACACAGACACAGCCTCAGCAAAGCTGGGGACAGACACAGCCTCAGCAAAGCTGGGGACAGACACAGCCTCAGCAAAGCTGGGGACAGACACCCCTGAAACACAGACATGGCCTCAGCAAAGCTGGGGACAGACACAGCCTCAGCAAAGCTGGGGACAGACACAGCCTCAGCAAAGCTGGGGGACAGACACGGCCTCAGCAAAGCTGGGGGCAACCGGGTGGAGTCACAACCAAAACACATCAACCGAACGGGCTGATGGTGTTTGGTGACTGCCCAGAACGCCCCATGACAGGACACCCGATTTCCATCCACCCCATTTCCATCCACGACCCCTCTTCTTCCAGAGGGGAGCAGACATTTTACATCATCAGCTTTAACATCAGTTGTTAACAGTGATTTCACACTCAGCCCCTTGCAACAGCAAAAAGCAATGAGGGTTCATACACTCCAGAACTCAAGTTTCCTTCTATCCCACACTGAAAGTGTCTGTGCACATAAAAACTTGAACCCTGATAAAAAACTGAGGAGCATTTGAAATGTTTGCAAACCACTCTTATCAGAAACACGAGCCTAATGATGACAGAACTGACTGGATAAAGGCAAATCAAAATATCTGGACAAAAGAGAAAGGCTAATCTACAAAGGAAGTAAATTTAGATCTCCCTTTTAAAACTGTTACATGCTTTAGAGCTGCAGACTGGGTGTTTGAAAAAAAGAGAATTTCCAGGTCAACCACATAGATTATGCTGCATTAAAAAAGGGATTTGTTCCCAGCTCGGAGCTTCCCAAAGCTGCCCTGCTGCTCCTCAGCGATAACATTCCATCAGAAGGAACCCTGTTCTCCCTGGAATGAAACGGATGCTGCCTCCTCCTCATAAATACATCCCAAGTGCACATCAGCACCGTGACAGAACGTTGCAGCAATTGTGGCCAATTATTCAGATCAGATCTGCTTAACCCAGCGGGGCCCAGGCTGCAGATTGAGCGGTCTGGTGTCAAGGGAAAGAGCACCAAGTGTTTCAGGAAGGCTTCTCCCTCTGACAGAAGGGAGATGATTTGTGAGCTGACAAGGCACAGCTGAAATGTTTTCTAGCCCCAGGGTTCCCCAGTCCTGGTGTGCTGCTCTGGACAAATGGGAATCCTCACTGTGATTCCAAAGCCAGGGATTGGAAGTGCAAAAGAGAAGGTGCTTCAGGGAGTTTGGAGGAGGAAGAGTCAGCAAAGCACGTTTCAAAAAAACCCCTCTGACCCGGTGACAAAGGACAAGAGAAGCCTCCTGTGAGCATCTGCACAACCCCAACAACTCCAAAACAACCTGGATTTACACTTCCAGCTTTCTATTTCAGGCAAAATAATGAAGATAAATCAACCCTTTGCTTCCTTGTTGGCCTTCAGATGCACGTGGGGGCTTCCTCCCAGAACCCACCTGCCAGCACAGCAAACCTCAACCCAGTGCTGCTGCTTGGGAACTGCTCCAAAGGGATGGGGTCTGATCCAGGCTCTGATCCCAGGGCCAGCTGCAGCCCTCTGACAAACACACTGCAATCCCACACGCATTCCAGACCCACGGCAAACACAACAATGACCGGTCCTTTCGGCTGCATCATCGCTCGAGCGGCTTTGAAGCCGAGAAACTTGTGATTCATGTCATTCCAATGTTCCTGAACTTTTAACACTCCCACTCCCAGGGTGAGGCAGCTCCCCTTCCCAGTGAGCCAGAGGGAAAAGGGAGATCCCTTCCCCACCTGCTGAGGGGTTTTGTAGGCTTCCAACTCAGCATATTGTGGGTTCTGTGATCTCATTCCACTCCCTGCAATGGGCAGGGACTCCTTCCACTGGAAGGAGTGGAATCTGTCCAATCTTTCCTGCTCTCAGGGGTCTGGTTCACCACACACTTGACAGCTGGATGGTAACATGCAGGAAATGAAGGTTTTCAGACCTTCCCTGTCACAGCTTGGTCCATAAATTCCATAAATTGTCACAGGGATGAAAACATGACTGACAGGAACACACACACACGTTCACACACGGCATCTGCACGGGTGACCTCCTGACAAAAGCGAGCCCAAACACACAGAGTCACAGAATCAGGGGATTGTTGAGGTTGGAAAAGACTTCCAAGATCATCCAGCCCAACCTTTGTCCCATCCCCACCTTGGCCCCCAGCCCAGAGCACTCAGTGCCACGGCCAGGCCTTCCTTGGGCACCTCCAGGGATGGGGACTCCAAACCTTCCTGGAGCCCATTCCAATCCTTAACAACCCTTTCCAGGAGGAAATTCCTCCTGATATCCAACCTGACCCTCCCCTGGCACAGCTGGAGGCCGTTCCCTCTCCTCCTGTGTCATTACCTGGGAGAAGATCCTGACCCTCATCTGCCTCCCCCCTCCTGTCAGGGAGTTGCAGAGCCAGAAAGTCCCCCCTGAGCCTCCTTTTCTCCAGGCTGAGCCCCCCCAGCTCCCTCAGCCCCTCCTGCTGCTCCAGCCCCTTCCCCAGCTCCACTGCCCCATCAGGAGGGAGAACTTTTCCCATCCTGAGAATCCCCAAGCAGTGAGCTGCAGGGAACGTCATCCCAGGGCTGAAGAGGCCAATTCCATCTCCTGCTGCTCAACTGCCCCAGGGCTCTGGGCACCCCAGCCTTGTCCTCATTCGATGGAGGTGCTACCAGAGCTCCTTTCAGCACTTCCATCCCTCTCCCAGGATCATTCCTGACCTGCCTCCAGAGCAGCACAGGGGTCAGGCTCTTCCCCAGGAATGAATCCACCCCTCTGACTCACAGATTCACTGCAGTGCCACAGCTCTGGAGAACATCAAAGCCCCGACCTTCACAAGGCCTGACTCAACCCGGTGAGGAACCAAACCTGCACCTGCACCCCAAAACACCAGTGGAAAACCTCGCTGTGCCCACAGTGATGCTGCACACCAGCTGTGTGTGCCAGGAAGGCCCCAAAGCGAGGCCCCCTGAGCACGACTTGCCTGGGGAAGCCGTGCTCTCCGACGTGGATCTCTTCCTGGAAGGGCTGCAGTTTGTGCTCTCCGACTGCCTCTGTGAGGGTTTGTCCTGGGCTGGCAAAGTGCCTGAGGAACAGAGAGATGGGGGAAGAGAGGCACAGGAACCATCATTTCACTCTGGCAGTGCCAGTGCAACAGCAAGTGGTCAACGGGAGGTTGCTCTGGTTTGGCTTTTAGGAACGTTTCAGTGCCTGAAGGGTGGAAATGGAACACCAGGAAGGAATTCCTCCCAGGCTGATGGAACAGGTAGGGCAGGGAACAAGCCATGAGTAAAACCAGGTAGTAACTTCAGCATTAGTTTTTATGGAGAGAAAAAAAAAAGAGAAAACCCTCATACTGCTGCCTTCACATTAACCCAATGGCTTCATTCCTTGATTTTCAGGGAAAAGGAATTCTGTGGATTATCTGCACCAACCCCTCTGCTCAAAGCAGGGTCAGCTAGAGCAGGTTGCTCAGGGCCACCATGTCCCACTGGGTTTCTTACACCCTCCAAGGATGCAGATTCCACAACCCTCACTGCATACACTGTTCCTTCTGTGCAAACACAAACACTGTTCTCTTCTGTGCAAACACAACTCCCAGAACTTCAGCCCATTCCCTCTGCCCCTCTCCTGCCACTGGGCACCACCAGCACCAGTGTGGCTCCTCCTGCTTCATTCCCTCCCATCCTGCACATGGACATGCTGGGAAGAGCTCCCTCTGCATCCTCTGCTCCAGGCTGGCCAATCCCAGTTCTATGGATAAATGATCCCAGCTCTCCCAGCTCTCTGATGACTGATTCCAGCTCTCCCAGCTCTCTGGATAAATGATCCCAGCTCTCTGGATGACTGATCCCAGTCTCCCAGATCTCTGGATAAATGATCCCAGTCTCCCAGTCTCTCTGATGACTGATCCCAGCTCTCCCAGTCTCTCTGGATGACTGATCCCAGCTCTCCCAGTCTCTCTGGATGACTGATCCCAGCTCTCCCAGACTCTCTGGATAAATGATCCCAGCTCTCCCAGACTCTCTGGATAAATGATCCCAGCTCTCCCAGCTCTCTCATGACCAGTCAATCCCAGCTCTCCCAGCTCTCTGATGACCAGTCAATCCCAGCTCTCCCAGCTCTCTGATGACTGATTCTAGCTCTCCCAGTTCTATGGATAAATGATCCCAGCTCTCCCAGACTCTCTGATGACTGATCCCAGCTCTCCCAGCTCTCTGGATGACTGATCCCAGTCTCCCAGCTCTCCCAGATTCTCTGGATGACTGATCCCAGCTCTCCCAGTCTCTACGGATAAATGATCCCAGTCTCCCAGCTCTCTCATGACCAATCAACCCCAGCTCTCCCAGTCTCTCTGATGACTGATCCCACCTCTCCCAGCCTGCCTGGATGACACAGACTCCAATCCCCTGCTTGTCTTTGTCTCCACCAGACTCACTGCAGTGTTTCCAAGTCTCTCTTGGACTGGGGATCCCAGAGCCATTCCAGATGTGGCCTCTCCAGGGCAGGGCAGTGGGAATAACACCCCCCTTGACCTGCTGGAGATGCTCTCCAGAACCCAGCTCACCATGCTTTTAAAATTTTAAAACTCTTTAGATTTGTCCCTTTTCATTGCTGCTTTTCCTCCCCAGGGAGGAAAACACAAAAACCCCCAAATATTTCTGTGTCAAACCCCAAATATTTCTGTGTCAGTCCATCAGGGCAGAGCTGTAAAAGCCCCAGGGCCTAAACAAGCGAGGATGATGATTATCTGCACACAAACCAGCACTGCATTTGAGGCACCTGCAGAGCACGTTTCCCTCTGTGTTCTGACTGCACAGGGCTTGCTGTCACTTGCTAAATCCCTGGATGATGCCATGGGGCAGCAGGAAGCACAGTTCCCATCACCTGAGTCAAAGCCATTTTTAGAAAGCCACAAAAATCCCACGACTGCTGCAGGGTGAGGGGACAGGGTTGGCTGTGGCAGCTTTGAGCAAAGACCCATTTCTGTCCCCCTTCCCACACGTAAATATTTTCTTACTGTAATATTTTCTTACTGTATTTCCTTACTTGTTTGATTTTCCTGAAGTTTAAAGAGCCCCAATTACTCCCCAAAGCAAAGGCTGTGGGAGTTGTTAAAATGCCACAGGAAAATCCGTGTGTTGCGATGCTGAAAACGCCAAGACACAAAAAAAAATCCTGAGATCTGAGTGAACTGATGTGTGAAACCCCAGGTAAAGCCCACATGCACGAGGCAGTGTGTGAGGAGATCGTGCAGGGCCTGCAGGAGTCACAAAATCCAGGATGACTCAAGACAGGGTTTTGTTGTTTCCCTTTAAAGCACGGTTGGTGATGAATGAGCTCAGTGCTGCCTGAGCTCCTCCCTCCCTTCCTCACAAACTCCACCCAAGGCAGGCAGTGGGACACTGAAGTTCTGCCCAAAAATCAAGGCCTGAAATTCCCCTGGAATTCCTCTCCACGGGCTTCAGTGGCTCAAGAGAGACCCTGGGGGTGTGCAACCATGGGAGAACCCTTGAATGCACCAACCTGATCTGCCAGAATCCCTGGGAAAATCTCCTTTGAGATCCTGTTTGGAGCCCCAAAGTTTGGGATTGTTGTGATTGTGGGCACCCTCAGCTCCTGGTGGAACACCCGTGATGGGCTCCACTGGAGGAGGGAATGAACAGCAGCACTTTTTTCGAAGGATTCCAACTTCTCAACAGGGCAGAGGGATGGTTTCCTGTTCCACTGATTCTTCTCAACAAGGGCACCATCACAAGGCTCCTCTTGTTATTATTATTATATAACTTTATTTCAATTATTAAAGAGCTCTTAACCCAGGAGTTTCACCTCATTCCAAGCCCCCCTGCCCATCCCTCCAGGCTGGGGGGGCTGCAGGGTGTGCTGGGCTTGCCCAGGGGGTTAAACCAGGAGCAGGGTCTGTCATTCCAAGGTGAATTTTCCCAGTTAAGCAGTGGGAATAAGTGCTCCAAGCAGGAACAGGCTGTAACTCCTGACAGGGAATAAAAAGAGGGAGGAGGCTTTGGAGGCTGTGGGGGTGGTGTTGGTGCTGCTGGCTGGGGGTGGCACAGCCCAGGGGCTGTCATGGCCTCGGGGGACCCCCGACCTGCTCAGTGTCCCCAACCTGCTCAGTGTCCCCCGACCTGCTCAGTGTCCCCTGCCCTGCTCGGTGTCCCCCAATCTGCTCAGTGTCCCTCAATCTGCTCAGTGTCCCCCACCTGCTCAGTGTCCCCCACCCTGCTCAGTGTCCTCCGACCTGCTCAATGTCCCCAATCTGCTCAGTGTCCCCCACCCTGCTCGGTGTCCCCCGCCCTGCTCAGTGTCCCCCAATCTGATCAGTGTCCCTCACCCTGCTCAGTGTCCCCCGCCCTGCTCAGTGTCCCCCGCCCTGCTCAGTGTCCCCGGCCCTGCTCAGTGTCCCCCGCCCTGCTCAGTGTCCCCTGACCCGCTCAGTGTCCCCCACCTGCTCAGTGTCCCCTGACCCGCTCAGTGTCCCCCACCTGCTCAGTGTCCCCTGACCTGCTCAGTGTCCCCCGCCCTGCTCAGTGTCCCCTGACCTGCTCAGTGTCCCCCCACCTGCTCAGTGTCTCCCACCCTGCTCAGTGTCCCTCACCCTGCTCAGTGTCCCCTGACCTGCACAGTGTCCCCCGCCCTGCTCAGTGTCCCCCGCCCTGCTCAGTGTCCCCTGACCCTGCTCAGTGTCCCCCACCTGCTCAGTGTCCCCCGCCCTGCTCAGTGTCCCCTGACCCTGCTCAGTGTCCCCTGATCTGCTCAGTGTCCCCAACCTGCTCAGTGTCCCCCAATCTGCTCAGTGTCCCCCGCCCTGCTCAGTGTCCCCTGATCTGCTCAGTGTCCCCAACCTGCTCAGTGTCCCCCAATCTGCCTCAGTGTCCCCCGCCCTGCTCAGTGTCCCCACCCGCTCAGTGTCCCCCACCCTGCTCAGTGTCCCCCGACCTGCTCAGTGTCCCCCACCCTGCTCGGTGTCCCCTGACCTGCTCGGTGTCCCCTGACCCTCTCAGTGTCCCCCAATCTGCTCAGTGTCCCCCCACCTACTCAGTGTCCCTACCCTGCTCAGTGTCCCCTGACCTGCTCAGTGTCCCCGCCCTGCTCAGTGTCCCCCACCCTGCTCAGTGTCCCCCACCTGCTCAGTGTCCCCCCCTGCTCGGTGTCCCCTGATCTGCTCAGTGTCCCCCACCCTGCTCAGTGTCCCCCATCCTGCTCAGTGTCCCCTGACCCGCTCGGTGTCCTCCAATCTGCTCAGTGTCCCCCAATCTGCTCAGTGTCCCCCGACCTGCTCAGTGTCCCCCAATCTGCTCAGTGTCCCCCGCCCTGCTCAGTGTCCCCCACCCTGCTCAGTGTCCCCCAATCTGCTCAGTGTCCCCCACCCTGCTCAGTGTCCCCCACCCTGCTCAGTGTCCCCCAATCTGCTCAGTGTCCCCTGACCCGCTCAGTGTCCCCTCACCCTGCTCAGTGTCCCCCAATCTGCTCAGTGTCCCCGCCCTGCTCAGTGTCCCCACCTGCTCAGTGTCCCCACCCTGCTCAGTGTCCCCCACCCGCTCAGTGTCCCCACCCTGCTCAGTGTCCCCACCCGCCTCAGTGTCCCCCACCCTGCTCAGTGTCCCCCGACCTTCTCAGTGTCCCCCACCCTGCTCAGTGTCCCCCGCCCTGCTCAGTGTCCCCCACCCTGCTCAGTGTCCCCCACCCTGCTCAGTGTCCCCGCCCTGCTCAGTGTCCCTCACCTGCTCAGTGTCCCCTGATCCGCTCAGTGTCCCCTGACCTGCTCAGTGTCCCCCACCTGCTCAGTGTCCCTCGCCCTGCTCGGTGTCCCCGCCCTGCTCAGTGTCCCCTGACCCGCTCAGTGTCCCCACCCTGCTCGGTGTCCCCCACCCTGCTCAGTGTCCCCCCACCTGCTCAGTGTCCCCTGATCTGCTCAGTGTCCCCTGACCTGCTCAGTGTCCCCCGCCCTGCTCAGTGTCCCCCGACCTGCTCGGTGTCCCCTGACCCGCTCAGTGTCCCCTGACCCGCTCGGTGTCCCCCACCCTGCTCGGTGTCCCCCAATCTGCTCAGTGTCCCCTGACCCGCTCAGTGTCCCCCAATCTGCTCAGTGTCCCCCACCCTGCTCGGTGTCCCCGGCCCTGCTCAGTGTCCCCTGACCTGCTCAGTGTCCCCTGACCTGCTCAGTGTCCCCCACCCTGCTCGGTGTCCCCTGACCTGCTCAGTGTCCCCTGACCCGCTCAGTGTCCCCTGATCTGCTCAGTGTCCCCCACCCTGCTCAGTGTCCCCTGACCCGCTCGGTGTCCCCTGACCCATTCAGTGTCCCCCGCCCTGCTCGGTGTCCCCCACCCTGCTCAGTGTCCCCCACCCTGCTCGGTGTCCCCACACCGCTCAGTGTCCCCTGACCCGCTCAGTGTCCCCCGCCCTGCTCAGTGTCCCCTGACCCGCTCGGTGTCCCCCGCCCTGCTCGGTGTCCCCGGCCCTGCTCAGTGTCCCCTGACCCGCTCGGTGTCCCCCGCCCTTCTCGGTGTCCCCCGCCCCGAGCGGCACACGGCGGAGGAGCGGTGGGGCCGCCAGGGGGCGCTGCTTCCCGCCCGTCCCGGGGGAGGGATCGGGAACGGGACCGGAGGGACACGGGATAGGGACACGGGAATGGGATAGGGATACCGGGATAGGGATACCGGGAACGGGACACGGGATAGGGATACCGGGATTGGGATATCGGGATAGGGATATCGGGATAGGGATATCGAGATAGGGACACCGGGACAGGGATACCGGGATAGGGATACCGGGAGAGGGACACGGGATAGGGATACCGGGATAGGGATACTGGGATAGGGATATTGGGACCGGAGGGACACGGGACAGGGACACGGGATAGGGATACCGGGATAGGGATATCAGGGATAGGGATATCGGGACCGGAGGGACACGGGATAGGGATATCGGGATAGGGATACCGGGACAGGGACACGGGACGGACACGGGACAGGGATACGGGATAGGGATACGGGACAGGGATATCAGGACAGGGACACGGGACAGGGACACGGAGACAGGGACACGGAGACAGGGATACTGGGATAGGGACACATACATGGGATAGGGACACGGACAGGGACACTGGGGCAGGGACACAGGACAGGATATCAGGACAGGGATACCAGGACAGGGACACGGGATAGGGACACTGGGACAAGGACAGAGGATAGGGATACCGGGACACGGGATAGGGACATGGACAGGGACATGGGATAGGGACATGGACAGGGACACGGGATAGGGACATGGACAGGGACATGGGACAGGGATACCGGGATAGGGACAGGGGATAGGGACATGGGACAGGGACACTGGGACAGGGATACCGGGATCCCTCGGGACAGGAACACCAGGACAGGGACCACTGGGACAAGGATACTGGGACACCAGGACAGGGATACTGGAATCCCTCGGGACAGTGACACCGGGACAGTGACACTGGGATCCCTTGGGACAGGGACCACCAGGCCATGGACCACTGGGATCCCTCAGGACAGGGACCACCAGGACCCCCCCAGGTCAGGAACACCAGGACACCCTGGGATAGGGACCACCAGGACCCCCTGGGACAGGAACTACCAGGAGCCCTCATGGCATCACCTGGGATCACCGGGGTCACCCCGAGAGCCCACAGGGTCGTGCTGGACCACGGCGGTTCCTGACAGTGCCGGTTATCCCATGGGAAGTGACCTAAGGGCACCTGTACCCACCCCAGCCCGGGCTGTGTCACCTCACACCCGGCCTGGTGTCTGCACAAGTGCAGCAGCAGCCCCTGGAACTCGGGGGGAACAGGCAACAGTGTCCTACAGTGTCCTACAAACAGCCCTAAAGGTGGGAATTTCCACCTGCACTTCACCCCCCAGGACACCCCAACCTCTGCTGCAGCCTCGTCTGCCCAAACAACTGACACGACTCGTCTCTGACTCAGCCCATCTGAAGATTTCTGGCATCAGCCAATACCACAGAAAGCATCTGCTCGTCCAGCCAGGCCAGGCTGATGTTCACAAGGCTCTGGAGATGAGGCAGGTTTTCATGTGGGATGCTCTGAAATAAAGCATCATGAATATCCTCCAGGGATCCCACAGATCCAGTTTAACCCTTCTGGTGACTCAGCACTTGGAATTTCTCTTTCCAATCATCTCCTCCTTCACACTTCCCCCACCACCTCGAGTAGCTCCAGTGCCAGGGAACAGCACAAGGCAAAGTGAACTTGCCCAAGATGCAGCTGCACCCTCAAAATAAAACATAAACCCCTGAAAAGCCAAAATAAAACCAAGAGAAACCCCCACCACCACCACACAGAGGTGGGCAGGAGGCATCCAAGTGGGAGCACTGCAAGAGGAGGGTCAGGAATGTGAGGAGGGATTTATTCCTGCTCTGTGGGATATCAGTCACAAGCGGGTTGGGACAGGGATTTAAATCTCAAGGGAGAATACAGGCAAGTAGGGGAGGGAGAAGCAGCTCAGACTTCCTTCATTCATCACTAACAGGCAGGAGCACAAGCCACACTCGTCCTTCCCAGGTTATCTGTTCCATGGCCTGGCTGACACATCCATGGTAATTAGCACAAAGTGTGAGAATTATTCCCAAAAACATCTGTACTAAGCAAGTGCAGCACAGAGTGACACTTAGGCCAGTGGGGAAAGTGGGAATAATTTCTTGAAGTCCTAAATTTCACATTAGATTTTTTTTTTCCCCTCTAATATTACGCACATAACAAGTTCAGGGTTTGGAGGGGAGGTGCCACTCTGGGCCACACACAGTCAGCTTTGCTTGAAGCATTTCCCAACCACAAATAAATCCAAAATTTCAAGGTCTGGTCTCAGGCACCCCCAGTATCATCCCCAGGAGCTCAGAAGCTCTGCTGTAGCAGAGATTATCCAAATAACTTTAAATGGAGTTACCAAAGGAATAAGCAACATTTTCTCAGATGGAAATGCTACTCTAAACCAAACCAAGCAGAACCACGGCTTTGGAAGCATCAAAAAAAAAATCGTGAGAAATTCCACCTCATCTCTCCAGGAAGTTAAAATACTAGGGAAAAAGCAAAGAGCTTCCTGTGAGAAAGCATCCTCAGCCCGAGGGCAAGGAAGCAGGAGGAGTCTGTTGGGAAGAGGGACACACACACACACACACAGAGTGCCCCAGGGGCAGATCTGTGTCAGCTCACTGGCAGAGCTCACCAAGCGAGCCAAAGCTCCACCTGCCCCCTCCAGTTTGGTGCAACAGAACCCAGCCAGCCCAGCAGCCAAGCAAGCCCAGGGCTCCCTTACCTGAGAGGGGCTGCAGGGCCTTCTCCAGGGAGGGCTCCTTGCGGAGGGGCCGGCCGAGCGGCGCGTCCTGGCCGCCGAACAGCGCGGGGCTCTCGGGCAGCTTCTTGCGCGCGGCGGCGGCGCCGGCGGGGCCGGGCGCTCGGCAGCTGCCTATTGCACTTGTGAAAAGGTTGGTGTGCTCCTCGGTGCCGGGGGGCTCCGAGCCGGGGGTGAACCCCCCCAGGGACAGGGCCGGGGAGCTGTCGGAGCAGTCGATCTGCAGCGGGGTCTGCAAGCCCAGCGCCAGGGAATTGGACTCGGAGGGCTCCCTCCTGACCCACTGCTCGTCTCTGCTCAGCAAACCCTTCGAAGGCGACAGGTGCGGGCACGCCATGTGGCACCTGTGCTTCTCCTTGTGTTTGTACCTCTCCCCCACGGCCTCCTTCCCGAACCTGTAGCGCTTCAGGGACTCCAGCACCGTTCTGGAGGAGCTGTTGGCCGCGATAGTGTCCATGGCAACCTGCGGCTGCTCCGAGGAGGAGCGGTGCTCCCGGTGCTTGTGGCGGTGCCTGTGCTTGTGCTCCAGCATCCAGCCGTAGGCCATCTCGGGCGGAACGCTGGGGTAGGTGCTCATGGACAGCAGGGGGGTCCTGCTCGTGGTGAGGAAAGCTTCCTGGCGTAAGAGTTTATGCTTCTTCTTGTGGTATTTGGTGGGGTTGAGGAGCAAGTGGCCCGTATGCATGTAGGAAGGCGGAGGCAGGGGGGTCGTGAAAGAAGGGGAGGGCGGAGGAGGGTAAAGAGTCGGGGGGTACCTTCCATAATACCCTAATCCTATGGGAGCAGCTGCCAGGGGGGACGGGGAGTAAGGCATGCCATAGGAGGGGTAGAACCCGGTGCTGGAGAGGGGGAAGCTGAGGCTGTGCATGAAGGGCATTTCCGCCATAGCTTCCCGCATTTTGGGAGGCCTGCCTCTCTTTTTCTTTAAATCGGGTTTCCTAATGTAGTGCAAAGGGTCTAAGGGGAAAGTCGGGTGGGTGTAGAAACTGTTGAAGTTTATCCTAAAAATGGTGGGCAGCAAATCCCGGGGTATAAAATGGTGACTCCGGTGGGTTATTCGGATTTCACTCAACCGGCTTATTAACTCCTCCAGCTCGGCGAGGAAATCGGGGTCCTGCCGGCCCCGCAGCTGAGGGTACTTCTTTTTCCTTTTCCTCTTCTGCCTCTTCATCTTGTCGTAGCTGAGGTAATCGTGGCTGCGGCGCTTGCACTTGTGCTTGTGCTTCTCCTTCAGGTTGCTCAGCACGGTGGAGGTCTCGGGCGGCAGGAGGGACACGTGGTCGAACGAGTGCCTCTTCTTCTTCTGCCCGCAGAACTTCTCCGCCCGGTCCGAGGTGCTGTTGTTGTCGGTGCCGATGCCGCTGTCGCTGGGGATGGTCTCGTCGCTGTGGGACTCGCTCACGGGCGACGGCGTGGCCTCCTTGAGCGAGGTCAGCTCGCTCAGGTGGGAGGGCGAGTTGGGCAGCAGCGTGGGCGGGGACAGCCTCCTCCTGCCCTTGGCCGCTTTCTTCATGGCCAGGGTCTGCACCACGCTGCCCTGGCGCGGGTGCAGGTGCAGGTAGGGCACGGGGCTGGGCTCGATGAACCCCGCGTCGCTGCTCACCGGGCTCTGCCCGCCGCTCACCGCCGACGACTGGGAGCAAACCGGAGACGGCAGCACCTCCGAGGGGTTCCCCGCGGGAGGCAGCAGGTGGGGCAGGACCTGGCCCAGGGAGGCGCCGGGAGCTTGCTGGGCAGACTTCTCCAGCACCGTCAGGCCGGCGGCGCTGCTGGCCAAGAGGCCGTTCAGGACGGCTTTGGGTTTCCTCCCCCTCCTCTTTCCTATGTAGATCGTTCCTTTCTTGCTGACATTGATTTGCTGGCCCAGCTTCGAGCCGAACGTGGCAGCAAGAGTGGACACCGTGTTGTGGAGCTTGGATTGCATCTTCCCTTTGGTATTTGGTTCCACTGTACTGGACAGAATCTGATTCAGGAGTTTCTTTCGCTTCAGAGTTTTCATTTTATTTATTTTTCGAATAATCGTTTTCATTAACTGTCCGTTATTTCTCTTGGCGACTTTTCTGTCTGAGTCGACTTCCAAATCGCTCATGCTGCAAATGCTGGGGCTTTGGACCTCCTCAGGCCCTCGGAGCTGCTCCTTTCTCTCAAAGAACTCCCCAGGTCGATGCTGCTCATTTTCGGGCCCCATCTTGCTCGAGTTCTCCGTTCCAACAAAAGGCGCCACGGACAGGATAGGCGGTTTTGTTTTAATTGATGACCTGATCTGTCTTTTAGGTCTCCCTCTCTTTTTAGGGAAAGGCTGTCCTGATAAGCTCTGCTTCAGGGAGGGAATTTCCACCTCAGGCTGCAAAATGGGAGGCTCTTGCTCTTCTTTCGACTGCACCGAGAACACTTTCGAGGCCGGAATCTTCAGAGTCCTTTTTGGGGGACCCTCGAGCTCCGGCATCTCCTTGGGTTTAGACCTTCCTCTTTTGGGCTTGTACATGTCAGGCAAGAAGTCCTCCGACATACAGAGGCTCGAGGGCTGTTTGTGAGCGCCGTAGAACTTCTGGGCTGGTTTGTCAGCCTCGGCCAGCAGCGCCAGGGACTGCCCACCGGCCTCGTTCAGCTTGGGCAGCTGGTGCTTGACGAACTCGTGCTCCACGAACGGGGACGAGCCGATGTTTTTCAGGAACTTGGCCTGCTCCAGGTTGCTGCTCGACAGAGCACCGTAGGAAATGTTTTTAAAAAGCTCTGACCTCTCCAGCTCCAGGCCCTTCGGAGGTCGGCACGTGCTCCTCGACACCACTTTAGTCCACCGGGGCTTCCTGCCTTTTCTCTTCTTCAGGGGCTTTGACTGCTGGGTGCTGCTCAGGTTCTTGGCTCCTTGGCAGGATTTGTCGGCCGCAGCGATGGCACCGATCTTCAGGAACTGCTTGCTGCTGAACAGGCTGGTAAAACTGACCACGGAGGGGGTGACAGTGGCGTGGATGCTCGTCTCGGCTGCCAAAAGGGGCTTTTTCCCCGTGGAAGGGCTAGTTCGGGAAGTCTCCACGTAGGAAGCCTTCGAATCGCTCAGGTCTTTATCGGCACCTTTAAAATCGGTGCCGAGGGGGTGGTTCAGTGTCCTGCTCAGCCCCAGGATGCTGTCAGAGCAAAAGGGAGTCTTGCCCACGGGCTCTGAGATGCCTTCCAGGAGCTCTGCCGTGGAGCTTAAGTGCAAGGAGTTGGATGGCAGCTGGGAGGAGGAGGAGGAGGAGGATGCCGAGAGGCTCCTGCTCAGGGTGGGGACAGACACGGTGGGGGAAGGGGAGGGGAGATTCCCCTCTCCCACCGCGCTGAACGGGGACTTCGCCGTCGACACCTCCGAGGCGCCTCCCGTCCTGAAGTCTGGTGAAGTGCAATACACTGGGGGCTGCTTCTCGTGCTTGGACGCTTCGTAAATCCCCTTCTCGCTGGAGGGGTAGGAATCCTGGGGGACACACATCCCGTCGCTGAACATCTCCTTGCCCACCTCGGCGATCTCCTTCCGAATGGAAAACTTCTCCAAGAGGCTCTCCTTGCTCTGCCTCACAACGTGCTTCTCGAAGGGCTTGCTGGCAGCGTTTTCCTTCAGTAAATCTGCAGGCTCGTGGCTTTCCAGGCTGCTGAGGCTGGAATTGCAGGGGAGCTTAAAGGGCTCCGAGGTGGGTGTGAGGGAATCTGCCTTCAGCGCCCCAGAGTCCTTGTTGGCCAAACCAGCCGGGCTGCCGATCCCTGCCGGCTTCTTCCCACACTCCTTGCTAACCAATCCCACCGGACTGCTAATTCCTGGCATCTTCCTCCCAGAGTCCTTGCCAACCGGTCCCACCAGGCTGCCAATCCCCGGCGTCTTCCTTCCAGACTCTTTGTTGCTCAGCACCGTCGTATTCCCGGCCCCCGGCATCTTCCTCCCGGAATCCTTGCTCAGCAGACCCGCAGGACTGTTTACCCCCAGCAGCTTCTTCCCAGCAGCGTCCTTGTTAACCAGCCCCGCTGGAACGCCGAATCCCGACCGGCTTCTTGAGAGGCTCCTTGCTGGTCAGCGCAGCCGGAGCGCTGATCCCCGGGAGTTTCCTCCCCACGTCCTTGCTGATCAACCCGACCGCAGAGCTGCTCACCGGCTGCTTCTTCCCAGAGTCCTTGTGGGCCATCCCGGCGGGAGCGCTGATCCCCGGGGGCCTCTTCCCGGGGTCCTTGCTCACCAACCCCACCAAGGGGCCGACCCCTTGGGGCTTCTTGCCGGAGTCTTTGTTCGCCAGGACGGCCGCGCTGCCGATCCCCGGCGGCTTCTTCCCTGAGTCCTTGTTCAGCAGCCCCACGGCGACGCCGGAGCCCGGCAGCTTCTTCCCCAAATCCTTCCCCGCCGTCCCGCTGGGATTGACGGCTCCTGGCGGCTTCTTCCCGGAGTCTTTCACCAGAGCAGAGGCGCTGCCGGTGCTGGGCTTCTTCTGCTTGGCTTTGGAAGACTTGGAGGGGGGACAGGTGGCAATGAGCTGAGCCAGCTTCTCCGTGACGGTCGTCGCTCCGTTCATCTCCGTCCTGTCCTTCAAATCCGAGTTATGGCTGCTGAGAAGGGTGGGAGGAGGTGGCTTGGTGTAATCCGTCATTTCTGAGTGCAACGGGGAGACTTTCTTGGCCAAAGGGGTTGTTTCTGCTTGGACACCTTCCTCCACGTGTAACTCCACTGCTGCCACTTCTCCAGCTTTCTTGTAGGACTTTGAAGGGTCCTAGGAGTCAAAAACCCAACAAAAAAGTCTTTAGGAACAGAGCACAAAGTGTCTCTCTGAGTAAAACAGTATCTTTTTACGTGGAGATGGTTAATATCTGCTCTAGCAACGGGGTAACTGTACAGGTACAGCTTCATGAACCTATCAATTCTAAAGCAAATATTAACAATAAAATATTAAATAATAAAATGTTATATATGTTATAACACATGGATTATGCAAATACTCGACAATATTAATAAATTAATAATATTTAAAGCAAAATCTTGAACCAGTAGACACCTTGAAGCTTTTCTGACGTAAACAAAACCCAAACTCGCTGCCAGCCCTGAAACACAACCCATTTAATCTGCTCCCCTCCTTCCCCCAATTAAAAACATTCTCCCAAAATACTGTTGCTGTTTATTAATAAAAACCCACTGACAACAATGCACTGGGCTATTTATAGTGTGAGAGCTACTTGAAGAGCTCACATGGTGCTGAGCAGCAGCTGAGCAGGGCCCTGTCCCAGGACACCCCCAGCCCCTGCAGCAGCAGCTTCTCCTCCCAGCAGCCCATTGACAGTCAGGAAAACCAGTAAAATAAGATTAAATCAGTCAAATTCGTCTCCTGTTTGCACAGGGACACACGTGGAGCAGCTGAACCAGGGTATTCCATGGCTGCCCCAGCCCTGGAAGTGTCCAAGGCCAGGTTGGACAGGGCTTGGAGCAACCTGGGATTGTGGAACTGGATGAGCTTTATGATCCCTTCCAGCCCAACCCATCCCATGATTCCCATTCCAAACACACACAGTGTGAAAACTTCCTGGCACCCACCACCTCCAGCTCCTGGGAATCCCTGGGATGCCAGAGAGTCACCCAACAGCACTTGCTGGGCAACCTGCAGAGAGTTATAACCCCTTTTCCACGGCCTGAAACCCCAAAAACAACTTTGGAAGGAAACTTTTAATCTCTGTTCAAGGGATTTTAAACACCTCTGAAAAATTCACCTAAATATTGGCTTGGGAGTTAAAACTCCTCAGCCCTGTGTGCTTGCTGAGCCACCAGGGGATCCACAATATTCCTTCTTGCTGTTTATTCCTCCGTGTGCTCCCCCAGTCAGGTCCTGGGGTGCCCTCTGGGGATCCAAAGCCTCAAAGAGCTTGGAAGCCTCAGCAGATATTTAAACAACCAACACACAGCTAAGCAAACCCTTCCAAACCCCGGCTTTGATCTAAGCAAGATGCCAGCATTGGGAAAAACACTGGAGCATCAAACAGGGATCCTCTGAAAGCTGAAGGCAGGTGCCCTGGAAAGCTCCTTTTCTCATCTAGGGGCGATGAATCCTCCAAGCACACGGAAAATTGTTTCAAAGAATGTGAAAAACAGAGCAAGGAACAGCTGGTGAGGTGTCAGAGAGGAGCCAAAAGAGTTCACAGCTTTTCTTCTTTTTCAGCTTTTTGAAAGCCAAAATTCTTATATGGGAAACTTTTTTTCATGTTTTTGGGTTTTTTGACCATAAAACCACCCCAACAAACTCCACAGAGCTCCTTCTTGCAATTCTGTCTTACCAACATTTCAGATTTTTGGCTAAAGTGAATGGGAAGTGTTGCTGTCACTGAGGAGTATCCCACAGGAATATCCTGTGGGATGGAGACTGAGCTCTCCCTCACTCTCTGGGATCCCTAGGCCCAGATCCCAGTTTTCTCTCAGTGCCTGGGATCCCTGGGTCCCTGATCCCAGTTCTCCTTTGATCCCTGGCTCCCTGATCCAGGTTCTCCCTGGGTTCCTGGGATCCCTGGGTCCCTGATCCAAGCTCTCCCTTGGTCCCTGGAAGCCCTGGATCCCTGATATCTGAGCTCTCCCTCAGTCCCTGGGATCCCTAGGCCCAGATCCCAGTTTTCTCTCAATCCCTGGGTTCCTGGGATCCCTGATCCAAGCTCTCCCTAGGATCCCTGATCCAAGCTCTCCCTGGGTCCCTGATCCAAGCTTTCCCTGGGATCCCTGATCCAAGCTCTCCCTGGGTTCCTGGGATCCCTCGCTCCCTGATCCAAGCTCTCCCTGGGGGATTTTTTGGGGCAGAGTTGTGATGTCACAACCTGTGGCTACAGGAACACCCTGTCCCTCAGCCCAGCTCTCCTGTGGCCACTCCAATCCTTTGGAAAGGCTCAGGAATTGCCCCTGGAATACCCTCGAGGCCACAGCTGGATGGTGGAGCAGCCAGGCCTGTCCCAGTGCAGCAGGTCCCTGATTCCCTGGGATAACTCCTGGTGCCCACACGAGCACTCCGTGGGATGGGGAGGACAGACCTGAAGTCCAACCCCACAAAAAAACCCAATTTTTCTGGAAATTCTGTGCCTTGTGAGCCCAGATTTCCAGCCCTGCTCCACGTTGCTCTGGTTTCAGATGGAATGAAAAGGTTCATCTGAGGGCAGAGCTGCTCAAAATGACACCAAAAAGCACTTTGTGCTTTAAAAACCAACCTGTTCCTGGGCCATCTTCAGTTCAGCTGCCTGGCTTAAAAGTGCTGCCCAAAACCTGGAGGTTTCCATAAAACTGGCACCATTCTAAATTTGGGACCGAGCTGAGCTGCAAATTCCAAACCTCCCGTGTGGATTTACGACTTCCAGGCCTGCACCATTCATTTCAGGAATAAAAACTCCAGGCAGTTTTGATACAAACTGTTAATAAGTTACAGCCCATCACTGGTGGCCTTGATGGTCTTAAAGCTCAAATGACTCTGTGGTTCCAGAGTCATCACAGGCACCAACAGCAAAAAAATGACTTTATTCCTTAAAAAAAAGCATCTGTTGTTACAGCACAGTCTCAGGGTTTATCACTACTAGCTCATTATTTACCGTGATGATTACTGGTAATTATTTGCCAAAGGCTTCAGAGTAAATGATCTTTCCCCAGGCCAGGGGTATCCCCTCTCAAATGACACAATTTGGTGACAAATTCACGCTTCTCACCCCAAAACCAACCTGCAAAACCCGAGACAGCCTCAGTTCCACCCGCTGGAACAGCCTGTCAGTAAAAATGCTGTTTGTTATTTCTTTTAAGAACCCCCAGCCAGCAATAAAAAGGGTTTTTTAGGTGTGCACAAACATTTCCCCATCGCTGTCTGAGCTGCTGCACTTCAGGCCACTGTCTGGGGCCACAACTGGGATCACAGAAACTGCTCTGTGGCATCAACACATCCCATGGAATTCCCCAAATAACAACGACTGGAAGTCCCTGCTGGTTATTTTTCCACCACCAAGGCTTTTCAATTCAAGTTTTAACCAAGTACCAGGAGGAAAAAAAAAAAAAAGACAAACTTCAGTCCCAGACGCTGCAGGGAATATTCTCAAGCTACTAAAAAAAGAAAAGAACTCACTTTCTTGAGCTTTGTTAGCTCTGAGTGGCTGTGATTTCATCAGCAGAGCTTTCCCTGCACGACCCAGGGCAAGAGGGAGAGCTCCAGAACGCTGCACTCAGCATTTTTCACCCAGAAATAAAGAGATGGAGCAGGAGGGCAAGTCCCAACCTGCTGCACTGTGTTACTACACTGAGTTAGAGTTAACACAGGCTGCTACTATCACCTCTTCCCATTTGCTACACCTTTTACCCCACCCTTTGCCACGGCACTGCCTGCACTCCCCTTCCAGCACGGCTAAAACAGGGCCAAAAATGTGTCTTTATGTGTGTTTATGATCAGGGCTCAGGCTTTGGGGCTCAATGTCTGCCTGCCACAGGACATTTCCCAAAAGGAAGAAATCCCAGCTCCACACTCAGCCTCGAAAAAAGCCAATTAAATGCTGCTTGGCTCTTGCAGCACCTCCTCATTTTGCTTTCTCTTCACACCTGGGAATCTCAGCCTCTCTTTTCTTTCCAGTGATTTTTTCTCCCTCCCCCCCAAAAAAATAATATTTATTAACTTGTACGCCCAGACTTTTTTTGGAGGGCAAATTGTGGGTGCAGAGGGAAAGATTCCCCTCACTGGGAGGCGGTGGAAGAGGGCAGAGCAGGAATGCCCATTCCTTGGGGACAGGGTTTAGGTGGGAACACAGCAGTGCCTCCCTGATCCCTCCCTGATCGCTTTTCCAGCCTGAAAAATTCTGTGATTCCAAGTTCCTGCCCTCACCTCCAGGAAGGATAAACCCTCTGTTTTTAACACCTGGAGACACTGCCCAGGTTTTAGCAGTGCTGTCAGCACTGAGCCTGAGAGAGCAGCCTGTCAGCCGTGCAAGTGCAGGGGATTTCCCTCCTCTCTTTTAATTTCTGCACTGGTATTCCCAGGAGAAGAATTCCACTGCTCCTCTTTGTGTCTCAGTGCACTGCAAGTGCCACATTTTCATTCAAATCCTTTACTCCTCCTTCGAGAGAAAAGAAAGTTCACTTTCAGAGCTCCAAGCAAAGCCACACCTGGCTCTGAGCTGATCATTTCTTTGCTTTCCCCTCCTCTCCATCAAAAGCAGAGATTTAGGGATCCCTTCCCTTTGCTGAAGGGTTATTTGCAGAGCTAAAACTTCCTTTATTTCATGGCAATAAGGCAAAAAAACCCCACAACTCCTCAGGTATTATATTCAAACCAGGAATATTTTAAGCCATGGTTGCCATTTGTTTCCACACAGACACTTCCAGGCCCTTTTCAGGAATCAGCAGGACACTGTTTAGTGTTATTTTTATCAACCCACAGTGGTTATCAGTGATGTCACATATCAATAATATCGCTAATGTGTTAAAATATATATTATATGTGGTATATTGTTATATAATATACACAATATAGTGATATGTGTATTATATACAATACATAATAATACATGTAATATGTAATACATATAATCTATGTAGTATATTTGTATAATATATAATGTACATGTATTATATTTATGTGTATTATATATAAAATACATATATAAAAATACATACAAACATGTATAATATATATATGTGTGTGTATATATATATATATATATATATATAAAATATCACTAATATTTGCTTCCCTTTCTGCTTCCTATTTGAAATGGGATGGATCTCCTGAAGGAAAATCTGGTCCACAGACACAGATGTCCTCCTGTCACCATCCAACCTCAAAATGCTGATTATTTCCTCCCTGGTAAAACCTCTCCAGGTGCAACAGTGCTGTTTGCTGGGAGAACCAGAGAATCCCAAAGCAGCTTTCAGTCCTCACATCCACCCTTGTCTTTTCAGGACTCAGTTTTATCACTTGGAATCGTGGAATCCCTGGAAAGGGACCTCGAAGATCAAGCCTTGGGGACAGGGCACAGGCAGGACAGATGGAAATCCTGCAGCCCCTGGGGCACCTGTGGGACACACAGCCCTCACCAAGGAAGCCTCCATGGACTTGCTGGATTCCCAAGGGTAAATTCCAACATTTCACTGGCAAAACTTGCAGGTATGTTGGCAGGAAGAGCAAACACTTCCAAAATTCAGCATCCACGCCACGTTATTTGTAGTTCTCGCCATTTATCCCGTTCTCCCTATCTGCTGTGGCTGCTCTCACTTGTTACACCCTGCACATCACACAAACAAAAAGGAGGCAGGGCCACCTCCTTCCCTTCGGAAAACCCCTGGCACATCCCTCCAGCCTCTCCATTTATAGCCATGTTATCACCAGGCTGGGTTGTAACTCATCTGCAAAAGTCTCCTCTGCTTTGCAGACCCTGCTTGGGCCCTTCCTGGCAGCGATGGGGGAGAGACAGGAAAATCACTGATTCCAACAGGAAAAAGGAACCCAAAACCCAGCTCAACAGGGACAAGACCCTCTAAAGACCCCCCCATTTTCTTCTACAGAAGAGACTGAAAATCACACCATCACTTGGCAGAGATTTACCCACTTCAAGTTCACAGGGGAATTATCTTTCCCTGCTGCTGAAATGATAACAGTACCAAGCTGTGAACGAGCATTTCCCCCCCTCTTGTTGAGAACCACGAAACCAAACCACTTCCAACCTCAGGAGCTCCAGTGGCAGAGAAGGTGGAGCTTTCAAACACAGCTGGAACAACCCCCCAGTGACCACACCACTCACTTGTTTCAGAGGACAGTGCTCGTTCTTCTCATCCGTCATCTTCCCGCCCTTGGGAGCCCTCCTGGGCTGCTTGATGCTGGTTTTTATGGCGGGCCTGCAGACATAATTCTCCAGGTTCTTGGGAGGCTTTTTGGTCCTCTTGGCTTGCAGGCCGATCTTCAGCTTGAGGTTGCCCTCGGAGAAGTTGGTTTCCTTGACGGAGAATTGTTGCTGGGCCTCGCTCAGAGCCTCGGCCTTGCCATCGTCGCCGCCGGGCCCCTCCCGGCCCTTCTTCTTGCCGTCCTCCTCGTCCTTGCTGCAACCCTCGGCCTCCGCCTCTGCCTTGCCCACCAGCGTGCCAAGGTTGGCCACAGAGGGGCTTTTCCCAGAAAACCCTTCAGAATCGGAAGCCAAGCCTAACATAGCAGTATTCCAAGGGTCCATCACAGGCGGAATATTTGCCTCCGGGTGATTTTTTTTTTTTTAAGGGATGATTTTACAGGGGGATGTTCCTCACAGGAGCTGTTCCACTACTGGCAGTCAGCATCTTTCGCTCTGCAAAGCAGGAAAAGGCAGACAGAAGAAGTAAACTTTGATTTCCTAGCAGAAATTAAATTAATGTTCCAGCCAATCGGAAAGCGAGCGATTGTATTCGAGACAAGCTGATGTTCCCAGACACCAACCCCGCCGGTCACCGACTTCAAACCCACAATTTATCTGTAAAACACTCTCTAAATGAAAAGTGAAAAATCAAAAGCGTGGGAATATTATAATACAATTTCCAATTCATCCACGGGACACTTCAAACAACGGTTAAGGATTTTAATATTGATCATCAAAGCAAGTTTTCTATTTATAACCAAAGCCTGGCTACTCTTGGGCTGGACCCACTGGATGAGCTGCAATCTGAGGAAGGACATGAATGAAAGCCTGGAGAAAGCACCCAAACCCCAGAGATATTCTGATTTTCATCAGCTGAGCCACCAGGAAAGTTGAGCTTAACCCACGTGGGCACCAGTTTAAAAACAAGCCACAAACTCTGGAACACACACAAAGCCTTGGCCACTCCCAGGGCTGAACTTGTGAGCAGAGAGATTTCAGGGGCTTCAGCAAAACTCCAAAATGAGCTGCACAAAAAGGCCTCGAGGAGCTCAGCCCTCCTGGCCAGGCATGGATTAGGGAAGCAGCTCGAGGAGGAGGGTTTGGGGTGGCTCTGGAACAGCACGGGCAGGATCAGGAACGGGAAAGGTGATCCTGGAGAGCACCAAGGCAGCTGCAGTGGGCTCAGGTTGGGAGAACAGATGCCAGGATTAGTGGGGGCAGAAGAAATGCTGCTGAGAACTCCAAATGAAACCTGTAGGAAAACCAGGCATCCCCAAAACAAACTTATTTAATATTTCCACGTGTTCTGTGCTCACTGTTCACATGGTTTCCATCTGCAGCTCGGGCTGCTCAACCCAGCACATCCTCAGAAATCAAACCCGCTGTTATTACTCGTAAGACTAGAGGTAATGAGATAAAATCTCCATTTTACAAGCAGAAAAAAACCTGGTTAACAGTGTGACATGGATATAGAAGGTGAGTTATGGCACTGCTCAGATCAAGGCCCGATGTTCAGTCCAAGAGGCTTCACCATGTCACCAAAAATGGGCTTTTTCACACATGCTGATGCACCAAGGAAAACTGCCCAGCTGTAAAATAACCCTGAGCTAAGGCCTGAATTTGTATTATCCAAGTCCAAGAGAAGGGACAATCCCTCATGGAACTGTCAAATCCGTGTTCACACGATTTGTTTCCTTCTCCAGGGACTGTGGTGCGGAGCAGCAGCAACACTTGAGGCACTTTCTTACAAATAAAATTAATTAAGAAGCTTAAAATATGAAACCAACAGCCAAGATTACCCTCACACACTGACCCCAGGAACTGCAAGGCCCAAAGTGCACAGTGGGAATTAAAACTGTGCTCACATCTGACTCTGGGGCAACACAGGCTCGGGGACTGTCCCAAAAACAAAGGCACTAAACTGATGGCTCCCAGAAACACAGAGCAGGCCACTTATTTAGCCATTAATTGCTCTCCACACAGACAACCAAACTGCTAATCCTGGCCCTGGATCACTGCAATCTTCTCCCAGTCCCCAGTTACCCCAGGAATTCACAGAATAGTGTCTGTCTCTCAGATCTCACCTCCCTGAATCCCAGGGATGCTGCTGGGATGCCTCACCAAGTTCCAGTTTCCTGGTGCTGTCTCCACGGTGTTCAGGGCTGTGTTTTGGTTCTTCCCTTGCTCCTGTTCCCCACTGACACCACTGGCTGTGTTCTTGTCTCACTTTTCTCTGTGTTACTCCTCACACTCCTCATGCCTGGATCTCCCCATCCTGCAGGATCCCTTCCACTCCTCCTGCAGGATCCCTTCCACTCCTCCTGCAGGATCCCTTCCACTCCTCCTGCAGGATCCCTTCCACTCCTCCTGCAGGATCCACTCCACTCCTCCTGCAGGATCCCTTCCACTCCTCCTGCAGGATCCCTTCCACTCCTCCTGCAGGATCCCTTCCACTCCTCCTCCAGGATCCCTTCCACTCCTCCTGCAGGATCCTTTCCACTCCTCCTGCAGGATCCATTCCACTCCTCCTGCAGGATCCCTTCCACTCCTCCTGCAGGATCCCTTCCACTCCTCCTCCAGGATCCCTTCCACTCCTCCTCCAGGATCCCTTCCACTCTTCCTCCAGGATCCCTTCCACTCCTCCTCCAGGATCCCTTCCACTCCTCCTGCAGGATCCCTTCCACTCCTCCTGCAGGTTGTGCCTTAAAAATCCCGTGGCTGTCAAAGCAAATGAGCAGCCAGCTGATGACAGCCACGGTTCAGAGGCAGCTAAAAAAAGCCTGCATGAATTTACCCTGAAAACTCTTGATGATTTTGGGCTTTCAAGGCCTAAAACTCTCCTATTTAACCATGTGGTGTTAAGGAACCTACCAGTGTCTCCACTCTCAAGTTCCAAGGCTTGCTCTCAATTATCCTGCATCCAGGGGATCTCAGGATAACAAAACTTGTGCTGGATTGAAAACCACCCAGGTACCAAACCTCACAAGTGAGGAGCAAGACACGTCCTGACCATCTCCCAAACTTCCAGTCCCTCAGCCAGTAGGTTCTGTAGATCTCAAATCCCTCCTGGAATTGTCCTTCTTCCCCCCAAAAAAATTAACTAGGAAGCATTTTAACATCCCACCGTGGGGCTCCTTACAGATTCCTCTGATGCCACACACAGTTTTAGTAGCTGGGTTTCCTCCTTATTCCCCTGGTGGCACATCCTGAGCTTTCTGTTCTTCTCATCCCTTGCTTTTCCAGGAAGAAAATGCTAAGGGTTGTTTTTCCACTGCTGGACCCCAAGATATGTTTCCCCCACACCCCTTTATCAACATTAACTGAGATTCTTTCCCCTCTGCTCAACTCAGGACTCCATTCCTGCTGCTGGTTTTGTCCATAAAAATGGACATTCCACGTCATTCCACACTTAGAAGGTATTTTTCTTTTGGTTCTTTTCATTGCTCCAGCTCCAAGGGACACTAAAACCAACTCAGCTGAGTGTTTGAAACCCCAGAACATCACCAGTGACTCCACAGCCTCCCACAGTCCCTTCTCATATCCCTTGTCTTCTCTCCCTTGCTATGGGAGGCAGTTACCACACTCAGAGAATAGAGAAAACAAAAAAAAAAGAGAATAAAAAGTGTGATAAAACCTGACAGTTCTTTGCCCACATCACATTCCCTGAGCAGTCACTGCTGGAGGCCCCTGGATCACCTCAAAATGTTTAGAGATGGAGACACTTGTCAGGGATAAAGTTCCTGCTTGTGTTACAGGAGGGGGGCTGACAAATAAAATAACTCCCTGAGCAGATCCTGGACAGGCAGAAATCCCAGAGGAGCTGCTCCTGTCAGGAAGAATATTCCACAGGAGCTCTGGGAGGCAGGGAGAGGAGCAGGAGCCGGGTTTTGTGGGAAGGAAGGCAGGCAGAGGACAGACATGATGACACCCTGCAAGCATTCTCCAGTGGGAGGAAAACTTGGGAAGCAGAGATAGTGTTTCTCCAGCTGACACCCGACCTGACTGGGAGTCTGGAAACACCACGTGGAATTCGGAGGAGGAGGCAATGCTGTTGTTTCACTATTCACATGCAAATGGAGGTGAAATTGCTAAAATCTGCATAACCAACCCCGTGTTTTGATGGGAGCAAAGGTTCCTCCTGCCTTAGGCTGCCAGTTTGGGAATTCTCCTAAAATATCACCCCAGCTGGGAGTCAGGAGCTCTCTGCATCCAGTGCCTTCCAGGGGAAGATTCTTCTGGACAAAACCCACCCAGTCAGAGGTAAAGGTGAAATCCTTGTCTGCTGTGTCCCTTAACTCCTGACAGGTTATTCCCAGTGCCAGGATGGAGCCTGGGACAAACACAGCTTGTCCTGTCACACAACAGCCCAACAGCTCCCCTGACAGACTCCTTTCCCTCTGAAAGCTGCGGATGGGGCTCACTGGAGCAGGAGAACGTGTTTTCCTTCCAAGGGAAGCACCAGAAATTTGGATTTTAAACATAAAAAGCCAACAATCCCTCTGACAACAATATCTGTTTAAAACCACCTGTAATCCAGTAACTCCATGTGCTATTGCCACTTTTCTCTGGTGACAACTGTCTTTTAAATCAACGTGCACCGAGGGTTTAAACTGCTTTTTGGATCCTCTGGGACAGTTCTGAAGACAACTGGGTGGGGAGGAAAGAGAAAAGGTTTCTTTTTGCGAATTGTAACTCAAATTATGTCACTGGTTTTTATCACTCCAACATAAAATGCTTTTTAGGGGACTGCTGGCTGCCTGCAGCAATGAAATGCAACTCAAGCCCAAAAAGAAGTTGTGGTAATTTTGTCTTTAAAACCAAAATTAGTTAAACCCCTTAAAAAAAAAAACCAACAAAATCTCTCTTATACTCTCAGACAGTTTGGGAAAGCTTCAATTTTGAGCAAGAACTGGAGCAGGCAAACAGCTGATGATTTCAGAGCCCATCTCTCCCCATATGTTCCAGCAGCTGCCAGAACTTCCCCGTTCCCACAGAGGCACCAGGGACGGTCCCAAGGTCCTCCAGGATGACCACGGGAAACGGGACTCATCCCAAAACCCCCCAATCCCTGGAAAACACCTGCCTTTGCAGGTGCAGCAAATATTAGTGCAAGGAGGGCAGTCACAACAAACAGGGCAAGAAGGTGCCCCTGGAAATGAAAACTGAGGATGTTTCAGCGGATGAAGGTGAAGCCACAGGTTCTGTCCCTGCTCCCACAGCTCCCACTGCCTCCAGCTCCCCTTCCTGGCTCCTGACAACGCTCAACTACCGGGAGAGCAAATGCGTGTCCCGAGGCCATCGGATGGAAACCCACATTCCAAGCAGCTCCCAGTTCTGTAATTAACGGGGAAAAGAACCACAAAGCCAGGGCCAAAGCCAGGAGTCAGAAAGTCAGGAGACCACGGGGGAAGAGAGAGAGAGAGAGACACACACACAAGGGTAGGAACACATTTTGCCTCCTGATCTGAGAGATGGGCAAGGCCGAGATGCAGGAGGTTCAACCACCCATTCCCAAATTAACGGTCAATAAAGCTTGAAATAGGACTGGTAACGCAAGGAGGGTAAAATTCCAGGAGTACGATTTTTGGGGAAGATTGGGGGGGGGGGGAGGAGAAAGCCCGCACGCCACTGACCCAGTAAACCAGCCGGAATCCCCAAAAATACATCAAATAACGCCGCTGTGTGCCAGGGAGCCCCGCCGGCCGCCTCCCCCGCCTCCCCGCCCGTCACACGGGGCCGTGCCTGGGAAACACCGAACTTCGGGGACGCGGAGCCGCGGGCACGGCCCCGCTGCCAGGAACACGGCGCGGGGGGGGACCCGGCGGGACCCCCGGGGCCGCTGTCAGGGTGACATCCCACCCCCCGAGCCCCCCGCGCCCCCGGGGGGCTGCCCCGGCCCCGCGGCCGCCGCCGCTGTCACCGGGCCCGGCCGCCAGCGGGGATCCCCGGCCCCTCGCCGCGGGCCCTGTCAGGGACCCCCCGGCTCCCTCCCCGCCTGTCACAGCACCCCCCGGCCCCTCCGCGGCTCGCAGGGACCGCCCGCCCCGCTCCCCGCCGCGCTCCGGGCCCTGCCGGGATCCCCCCTCCCGCGCCGCCCCCGGGGATCCCCCGCCGCCACCAACGGGGATGCCCTGCGCCCGCTGCGGGACTGCCGCGGGGGTACCGCGCGGCTACCGGGGGACACCCGTGCGGGGGGACGCGGGGCGGCCCCCGCGGCGGCTCCCGGCGCGCCTCCTCCCCTCGGGGCCGCGGGGCCTGAGGCGGTCCCCAGTCCCCGCCCGCCCGCGCGCGCCCGCCCGCCCCGCTCCCTCCTCACCGTGTCAGCGGCAGCGCGGCCGGGGCCGAGCACGGGCTTGCTCCGCGCCGCATCTCCGCGGCCGCCCGGGCGCGGGCGGAGGGGCCGGGGCGGGGCCGGGGGAGGGGAGGGGAAACTGGACGGAGCGGCCGCCGCGGCGGGGCCTGAGCCGAGCGAGGCGGCGGAACCAAAATGGCGGCGGCTCCTGCTCCGCCGCGAGCGAGCGCACGGGCACGCCCCCCACACACCCCCCCCGCCCCGCGCGCCGGGCACGCCCCCCGGGCACACCACGCCCCTTTCCCCATAAACCACGCCCAGCAGCAGCCAGACCACGCCCCTTGTGTCGCAGACCACGCCCCCTCTCCTTCAAGCCACGCCCCCCTGCCACGCCCCCCACGCAGGGCCCTGCGAAGACGCCGCAGAAAAGGAAAATATAAGGGAAAAAAAATAATAAGGTGGGTTTTTTACATCAGATGAGCCGTAAGAGGGATTGTGTAGACGCGCAAAGGCATCTTTCCTTGAGGGTCGCGTGCGCTGGCGAGTTTGGAGCGTCGAAAGGCCTTTTGTGAAACCGGAGTAGTGGAATCAGAGGGTGTTAAGGGGTTGGAATGGACTGTAAAGTTCGTTTCGTGCCAATCAACCCCCCCTTGCCGTGGGCAGCGACACCTTCCAATAGAGCACGTTGCTCAAGGCTTTGTCCAAGCTGAACTTGAACACTGCCAGGTATCCACAACTTCCCTGGGCAACCTGTGCCAGGGCTTCTCCATCCTCACAGGGATGAATTTCTTCCCGATATCTAACCTGAATTTCTTCCCTTTCGGTTTGAAGCTGTTCCCCCTTGTCCTGTCACTCCAGTTCCTGATGAACAGCCCCTCTCCAGCTTCCTTGCAGGCCCAATTCACATCCTGGAATGTGCTCTGAGGTCTCCACACAACCTTCTGTTCTCCAGCCTGAACATTCCCAGCTCTCCCAGCTCATCTCCATACAGGAGGTGCTCCAGTCCCCTTATCAATTCATGCCCTCTCCTGGACTTGCTCCAACAGTTCCATGTCCTTCTTATCTTGGGAATGATGGAATGATGTTCACAATGTCTGACAGGAATTACTGCAGTCTGTTAACTGGTGTTTTAAAACATTGTCTGCCACAAGCAGGAGAAATTAATAACAAATTGTATTCCAACAAGATACATTAAAAAATCCAAACAAACAAAAAATGCCCCAGGGCTGAAATTCCCACAGCAAAATGAAAACTCCTCCTTTGGAGCAAGTCCAGAGGAGGCACCAAGTTGACAAGAGGGCTGGATGGAGAAGCTCTGCTGGGAGGGAGGGCTGGGAGAACTGGGATTGTTCAGCCTGGAGAGGAGAAGCTTTGGGGTGACCTAATTTTGGCCTCCCAGTGCCTGCAGGGAAGTGACAGGAAAGATGAGGCCAAACTATTTACCAGAGCCCGGAGTGCCAGGACAAGGAGGGATGGGTTCAAATTGACAGAGAGCAGGTTTAGATCAGATATTAGGAAAAATTCCTCCCTGTGAGGGTGGGGAGGCCCTGGCACAGGTTGGGCAGAGAAGCTGTGGCTGCTCCATCCCTGGAAGTGTCCAAGGCCAGGTTGGACGGGGCTTGGAGCAACCTGGGCTGGTGGAAGGTGTCCCCAGCCCTGGGGAGGCACAGCTGGAGCGTGGGGCCAGTTCTGCTCGGGACAGGAGGGACATGGAGAGGATCCAGGGGGGTTGTGAGGATGCTGAAGGGGCTGGAGCATCTCTGTGACCACGACACACCCAGAGGGGACCTCCCCAGTGCCTGCAGGGGATGGACCAGGCTCTGCTCGGGGGGTGCCCCAAAACAGGACACAAAACTGATGCCCAGAAGTTCCACCTGGCCACGAGGAAGAACTTCTGTCCTGGGCAGTGACCCAGCCCTGAACGGGCTGCCCGGGCAGAGAGGGAGGAGTGTCCCTCCCTGGAAATATTCTAGAGCCATCCTGGACACATCCCTGAGCTCTGGGATGATCCCGCCCGAGCAGGGAGGTGGGGACCAGGCCCTCCCTCCCACCCTGCCCCATCCCGCGATCCAATTTATCGACGAAAAGCTGGAAGCGAAACCACGAACACGCGCGGTTCAACACCGAGGAGGCTCCCGGAGAAAAACAAAAACCCTGAAATTCAGCCGATTAACGCGATTAACGTTTTAACGCCGCTCGGAAAGGGGCACGGAAAGCCCCGCCCACGCGGCCACGCCCTTCGTGGCCACGCCCACAGCGACCACGCCCCTCGGCCACGCCCTCGCTGTCCCTCCGAGCCACCCGTAGCGGCCGCGTCACCGGGGGTGGCACCGGGGGTGGCACCGGGGGTGGCACCGGCGGGTCCGGTGAGTGCGGGGACACCGCCACCGGGTCCGGTGAGTGCGGGGACACCGCCACCCCCTCGGGGACCCCTCGGGGACCCCCCGGGGACCCCTCGGGGCCCTCCCGGGGCGCTCCCGTTGGAGTCCCGGGAAGGGGGGACGGGAAGCACGTGGGGGGCACCGGGGTGGGCTCGGCGAGAACCGAGGGGGGTCCGCATCGACCAGGGGGGTGTTTTGGGGTGTTTTAAGTCTGGAGAGGTGATGGTTTGAGGTTGCGCGTTGATGGCGGATAATGCGCCTTTTTTTTTGGGGGGGGGGTGGATTTATCGGCGTGGGTTTGAGTTCTTTGAAGTTAAATTATAAAAGTCCTTATGAATTATATAAATTATAAAGAATACGTAAGTGTATGTATTTATGT